CACACACACACACACACACACCACACAAATCCCCTGAGTTTTATAGAACTATGTAGAATGCAAAATGATTAATCTACATGTCATGTGAACAGTGAGTGAGCGTTGTGGTTGCTGGGATTTGTAGTCTACCAGTTCACCCTTCCACCTACAAAGCTGTCTTCTCCTGTGCATTGCCACTCGGATAGATGGCTGGGCCACACACTGCTAGAGAGCAAAAACAGCGCCAAACTCGGTTCGGCATGTTCAATTGTATAACATATTCGTTGAGACCCCTGCCCCAAGGTTAAGTGTTTGTTCAAGACAGCTAAGTGAGCATCTAAGACTGCAAGTAAAGGCACAGGCAAGCATGCATTTGTCATTTGCACAGTGCACTCTGAAGATGCCACTTTCTCCGAGACGGATAAAAGCCAGGAAGCATCAGGAAGCTCTGCTCAGGAACCTGGCTGGGTGGAGGACTCCTTCCCTCAGAATCAGGATTGCAGCTTCGTCTTCTGTGGACTGGTGGCTCCCTCCCAAAGCAGGAACTTCACCGCCCATTCTTATTATAGCAGGCTTTTGTAGGAGTAACAATCGCGGAGCCACACTGTGATAAAAGTGCTTTTTAATATGGTTATCCTACGTATTACAGGTAAAATTAATACTTATTGAGGCTCTTAATATGTCTGAGATATTGTGCCAGATAATTATTGCATTTGGAGAGTCATTGTAAGCGATGAATAGAGGTTTGGCTTGGAAGACTTGTTAGTTAACGGTCTCATTCCTGTCTTATCACCCTAACCAGCTTGGAAGTAGAAAGCCCTTTACCAGAGCCTCACATTCGAGCTCGGCTTCTCCAAGGAGAGGATCTTGAATCTTCTCCCCCAAGCTTGAACTAGTGTCCTGGCACTTCCCCCTCCCCAGTGTAGGTCCTGAACTTGGGGATCAACACTGACTTATAGAAATGGCGTTTGCAGGGTGGCTGCCTTAAGGCCGCAGTCACAGCCAGCTCTGAAGCCTAGCCACACATTTGGCCCAGGGAAGGCCACTTTCTTCCCTGTTTCCTCTGCCAAGATGCAATGTCAGTTCATAAGGCAGCTCTCACGACCAGGATCAAACTGAAGGCCTGCACTCTCAGTTGACGGCTCTTTCCATTTGACGTGCGGCATTAGGAAAGCCCAGCCTTACTCTGGTTTCCTGCTGTCCTTTTAAATATTAGCCCAAAGCTGATGGTGGGGTCAGATAGTGCCCACGTGGGGTCTGCAGTAGAACTCGGCAGGTCCTGCCCCAGAAATTCCAGTCTTTCTGGTGGGAGAAAATACCTTAGGAATGGGACCTTTAAGATTGTTTCCCTCTCTTTAATAACACGAATAAACACCTCTCCTACTTTAAAATGGTCCTTTGAAAATTGATTTGGAGTTAAAATTCATTCAGGCAGTTATTAAACAGGTGTTGACTGATTGTATTCTGTGCTGGATACTGCAACGGCTCTTCCTGTCTCTACCAGACATTCTGAGGAGAGGTATGGAAGTCACAGGGCAGTTTTTTTTTTTTTTCTTCTGAGACAGGGTTTCTCTGTAGATTTGGAGCCTGTCCTGGAACTAGCTCTTATACACCAGGCTGGCCTCGAACTCATGGCGATCCGCCTGCCTCTGCCTCCCGAGTGCTAGGATTAAATGCGTATGCCACCACCGCCCAGCTCCACAGGGCACATCTTGAAGTTAGAGCATGTAGCAAGAAGAAAGATGTCCATAGTTTTTGTTCTCGAGTAAAGCTTAGTTTAGCGACTTTAGGGCAGAGTTGAATTCTCCCGCTACATTTAACTTTCATTATATCTTTGTTTTTACAGTAGGTATAGTTTATGCATATGGCACTTTTTAAGTTTGGAACAGCTTAGCATCAATACCTATACAACTTCTTGGCCAGCACTTAGAGGGTGGTTTTACTTACACTGTAATATAACTTTGGTTCCTGTGCCTGAAATTTGCATAGCTCTAACCTTTGAGTATTATCTTAATTATTTAAAAAAAATTTGCCCAACCTAAGTCATCCCCTGTAATAAGTTTCAGTTGTTTTCAAAGATGTTTAGAAATCTAGCAGACACTTGACTTGATCATGCTTTATTATTTCCTTCCAGCTTTCCCCAGTTTTACCCCTTTCTGTGTACATCTGATTTTGCAAGGATTACTTCTATGTACGGTACCAGTAATTATGTTTTACCCTATGGGATAAAGTCATCAGGTCAGTCCCAGTGTTCTTATCCTGCCTTTTAATTTGTGTGGTGTTGGATGCCAGCTGCATGCTTTTGTTTCCTAGTAGCTCCCAGGAGATACGATGTGGGGACAGAACAAAGAAAAAAAAATTAAAGTTTTAAACATAAATACACTTTTAGAGGTAGTATAGAGGCAAAAGTGGTATGAATGTTTTTGTTGTTTTGTTTTGTTGCTGTGTTTGTGGTAGGGGTGGTGGTACTGGGGAAAATGGACTTCCCTCTGTTCTGTCACAGTGGGGCTTAGCTGGGCTCACATGCCTAACTTTATTATAGTTTAGAATTAGCAGGATAACCTTAAAGGGCAGCTTTTTCCCAGCTTCTTCATCTCACCTTTGTCTGTGTGTTCATGTAGACACACGTGCATATACATGTGAACATGTGAAGGTCCTAAGATCTCAGATGTCATTCCTCAGATCCCCCCTCCTTTTTTTTTTTTTGGAGGCAGGCTCCTTCACTGGCCCGGGGTTCACCAAGTAGGCTAGAGTGGACAGGCCACCGAGTCTAGGGATCTCTGTCTCCTCGGTCACAGCCTCCCCTGTGCTATGATGGCAAGCACAGGCCACCGAGCTGTTTATATGGGCTTCAGGGACTGACCTAGGGTCACATACTTGCACACAAGCACTTTGCTGACTGAGACTCCCCAACCCCAGTTCTCCTCTCTTCTATTTCAGCAGCAAGGTCTAGATCCTTACCATTTTCCCTTAACTAGTAGGTGTTTATTTTCATTAAATCGAGAAGGAATTATTCCGCCTATTAACAAGACAGCAATCTTTCCCCATTCATGGAGAGCATTTTGGGACTTATGTAGAAGGTTTAGACTTTGGGGAGGCCTTAAGAAACCAAGTGGTGCCAGTTATAATTTTGTGATATTTTACTTTTTCAACTGATTCTGCTTTAAAATTGCCCACATGTATGTATGTGTGTGTGTGTGTGTGTGTGTGTGTGTGTGTGTGTGTGTACGATTTGCAGAAGGCTAGGATGTAGCTTAGTTGATATAGTGCTTACTTAGCATGGTTGAAGAAACCAAGTATTGTGGTCCATACCTGTAATTCTGGCACTTGAGAGGTGGAGAGGCAGGAAGATCAGGAATTTTAAGGCCTCCTCAGCTACACAGAAAGCTTGAGGCTAGCTTGGAATATATGAAATCACATACACACACACATACACACATATATAAGTATATACATATAAGTATATATACGTGTATTATACACGTATGTATGCGTATCAGAGATTTTAACTAATTGGTTTAAATTCACTGAGTTCCATTTTATGGTTCAGAATCATCTGACTGCTAATTTTTATTACTCTTTGTAACTGTTTTTACACTTATCCTCACTCTCAGGAAATAACTTCAAAATATTTACTACTTTGAGTGTGCTTTTTGAGTATTGTGATAAAACTGTAGATAAGTTGTCAATTTTTCACTGATCATCTCCAACACAGCCATGGCATTTAGAAAGAGTTTGGGAGCTGGGGAGCTGGGAAGATATGGTTAGCCTTCTGTTCATAATGCTGTATTTGTTTTCCAGCGCCATATTTTCGAACTGTCCTTTCAAAACTGAAGAGCTGTGAACTCTTTGATGAGTTTGACAAGTGAGTTTTTATTTCTTTGTCTCTGACTTTCAGCTTTATTTACAGTGATTTAAAGTATTTACCTTAAGAAATGCAAAGTACATATACTCTGGATTCTACTGGATGTGTGTGTTATTAAAACTCCAATAGTTATTTCTGCTCTTATTCCCCTGGAAGTAAGCAAGTTATGAAATTAATATAGAAGTTGCAGCATTGGCTGGCTCAGTTTTCAGTGTTGAACACTGTTTAGTGATGAACAACAGGAGTTTCTACCCATGGTATTTTTGACCCATGTCCATCATCTCTTAATTTGTTTCTACGAAAGAATGCATTCTCCTGTACTGCTAACCAGTGCAGACCCTCCATCCACAGTGGTTCCCCACACCTTCTGTGTGTATCCCCAGGGCTCCTAATTGTTTTTTTTTTTAAATTTATTTATTTATTAGGTATACAATATTCTGTCTGCATGTATGCCTGCAGGCCAGAAGAGGGCACCAGACCCCATTACAGATGGTTGTGAGCCACCATGTGGTTGCTGGGAATTGAACTCAGGACCTTTGGAAGAGCAGGCAATGCTCTTAACCTCTGAGCCATCTCTCCAGCCCAGGGCTCCTAATTGTTGACTATTGAACTTTAAAGCAGTTCTGTTCCTTTTTGTTGAGAATTACATTTGAAGAAAGCAGACAGCTTACTTAGGTATACGTCTTATATCTATAAATGTTGCTTTGTGTGGAGAAAATTTTCTTGCCAAGATAATCCATAGAAAACCCATTGGATGTCTTGGTAGGTAGGCTTACTTTTACAAAGGTGGGCTTATTTCATAAAGTTTGAGGATACAATTTAGAATTTGGACCATGGAGTAGCATAAAGAATGAGATGGTCTGTGGAGATCAATCCTGTACTTAAGAAGGGAAATGGTAGAATTCTTCTTGTCCAAGAGTGCAGTGGTGCTCCTTGAGAACCGTGGAAACTGTAGTGGACACAGACGTGAACGTGGAGAGGGAAGTTAGAGCACTGAGTTGGATGGGAGTGCTACATTTTATTGAGATCTTTCATGTCTGCGAAAGACACAGATTATGGAAATATGGAACATGTATGGTTGGTCTATTGCCACTTGTTATAATTGGTAATTCAAAACTATGCTACCTACTGACTGATCAGTTTCAACTTATTGCATATCAAGAAGTTGGTTTTTGTTTTTTGAGACAGGGTTGTTTACTTTGTACACCAGGCTGACCTCAAACTCAGAGATCTTCTTGTCTCTGCCTCCCGAGCCCCGAGATGAAAGGCATGTATCACTACCACCCAGCTACCACATATCAAGAGTTTGGAGTCTTGTGCATGTACACATACATACACACACAGAGAGACATATATTTATACATCTCATATTTTACATAGTTTTCATTTGTAGAGTTTTGATTTGTGAAGATGGTTGGCTTATGTCCTTTAGGTCAGTTTCCTCTAATTTTGCAAAAGGTGAGAGCAAGGCTGGACAGACAGACAGCTTGTTCTAGCTGGGAAATGGCAGAGCGAGGACGAGAACAGAGGTAGCTGCAGCTCCAATGCTTAGATGTCTGGGCAGAGAGCAAGAGCAGGGATCTGTAAACTGTTCTGCAAATGCAAATTGTCGTACTTGAGAGTCAGCAAGTAGAAGTTTCATCCTTGTCTCCTTTTGCTGTTACTAGACTGTTTGATTCAGCTGCTTTCCTGGCTATCTCAGGCAGAGAGAGATCTTCAGCCATTATCTGTTCCTTTTTCTGACTCGATCGGGCTGTCCCCACTGTTTCCTCTACATTGCTACTAATGCTTCCACTCCCATTAGGCTATGTCTGGAAACCTTCATCTTCTCTGCCCTCTTTCTCATTTCCAGAAAAAAAAAATTTGTTGCTGTTTCAAGTATAAATGTTTTAAGGTCATATTAGTTTGCTTCAGATAACTAAATCAAAAGTGTCTAATGCTTTGGTAGATTTCTTTGTGAAGGGGAAAATGCAAAGTATCAGTTAAGTTTGTAAGCTGGATACGTTCCTCTTTCTCATGTGTTTTTTTTTTCATGCATGAAGTTTGCAGGCCTGCCCTAGAAATTCTGTGGTCATCAGAGCCAAGGCTTCTTTGTGTTGGACTCTGATGTTGCTCAGTTCATGGCTTCTTCCTTAGGGTTCAACATGAAAGCTGGGGTCCAGCCTATTATGTCTCCATTCCTACCAGAAGGGAAGAGGAATAAGGGCATGAACCCCTTTGTGAGGCTTGCCTTCTGCTTGTCGAGCTATCAAGAAGCCACACATAACTGTTCACAGTACCTGCTGATGAGCTGGAGCCAGAAGGGCCAACATGGGAGAGCTCTATCTCTTGCCAGCTCCAAAGTTAGCAGTTTTAGCTGGAAGCTTGCCCTCTGGAACCATTATTTATATCATGGAGATTGGCAAGTCTCACAAACTGGAGCTTTTCAGACTGTCTCCTCCTTCTCCACCCTCAGAATCGATCATTAAATATGCCCTCTAGACCACTGATGACTCTCATGGGGTCAACTGAGGCACTGGCCATGGCTGGCTAGAAAGGGGAGGGGAGATGTTGCCTGTTGTCTAGGTCATTTTGTGCCCACCTAGTAAGCCTGGCATCCTGAGTTCGACTTCGGGTACATAGAGTGAAAAGAGATACCCGAGTGTTCTCTCTCACACTAAATAAGCAAAATGTAATAATAATAAAAAAGTATGTCCTGTTGTAAGGGTGTAGGGAAGCATGGTGATAGTCTTTTTAGGAGCTTTCTCCGTTGTTTCTTTGGTCCCCAAGTGTTTATGTGCCACGGATGCTCCTGAAGTCAACTGAGATAAATAAATAGCCCAGCCACGCCTCTCTGTGCTGCTCCTGTGCTTTCTCACACACCTCAATTTCTCAATTCACCTAAGCTCAGAGAGCATAACTTCCATGCCCACTGAGCCTCACTAAAGATAGCCATAAAACTGTTGTTTCTTGTTCTTATCTGGTGAAGTAGATACCGATGCCAGCAGAACGCACAGTTGTTGAGAACTAAGAGCCTCTAGTTAAAGGGTGTCAGAATGTTTAGGGGACTGGGGCTGGTGAGATGGCTCAGTCAGTATAGGTGCTCGCTGCCATTTGTGATGGATCTGTGTGTCGCCAGCACCCACATGATGGAAAGGGAGAACCAATGCCCATAAATTGTCCTCTTGATTACCATACTTGTGCCCACACATGAGAGAGAGGGGGGGGGAGAGAATGAATATAACTAAACCAGGCAAAGAATTTTATATTTTTAGAAGTGCTTTTGTAATATCCGTGTTAAAACATGACATAATTCATTGAAATATGCAAGGCAAGTCTCTGAAAATATGTTAAACTTGGTTACAGAATGCATACATCATCTCTTAACCCAATCTGGGTTTTAAAAAATGTTTCCCCACTCCTACACTCTCCAGGTTTAAATATTGCACAGCATTTGTACAGTTCTGCTATTAAGGTTTAAGTCTTAGAATTTGGGGGTTGGCTCTGCTGCTTGCTTGAGGACCAGGTTTGTCTTTAGATTTCCCCTGTTAGGAAGGAGCCCTTAGCAGACTCCTCTGCTCGTCTCCTAGGCCTAGTGGATGATGATCAGAGCAAGAAAATCCCAGGCCAGGGTCACTTTAGCGGAGGGCCAATGCTGTGCCACCTCAGGGTTTGACTCTGCCGTGGAAGTACCCTTTGTGCTCTATTTAAAGCCTTTTTTTTTCAGAAGTACAGTGAGTGTGTGTTTGGGTGAAACACCAAGAAGCAGTCATGTTTGAGAAATTCAAGAGGGCCCAGGCAGGGTGCAGAAAGCCGCCCTTCCTCTACCACATTCCAAACTGGTCATTTCCATACTCATATGATGCAAGAGAAAGCCGGGGGCAGATAAGGAGTGGGGAATACTGGTTTAGAATGGAGATAGCGATGTAATGTGAGCTAGGCTAGCAGGACCCGGCAGTTTATGCTGATGGAAACCCTTGGCACTCTGAAAGTTCAGAACCAAATGCTAGTCCCCCCTGTTCGGAGTTTGGACTTTGAGTGATACATTTCCCCCTCAAATTCATTTCCTCGTTTGTCTGTCAGGGGCTATCAGGTTCCTCTCTCCAACCTGGTGATGTTAAGGAACACAGGAGAGAATGGACGTGGGCATGAGCTGTTAAGGGTTGACATCAACCATGATGCTATGCTTTCCCCAACAGCATTGTTTTTCCTGAGTCTCTGGCCCTCAGGCACAGTTGGTTATTTTTCTACTTGCATGACAAAAGAAATTTCACTTAGTTCTTGAGAGCAGGGATGGGTTCTTGGAATCACTCCAAATCATAAATGTGATTTTTCAGTCTCACACTTGTCTGTTTGCTCCACAGTGTGCCGTGTAAAAGGTGTGTGGTGGTCGGTAATGGAGGCGTGTTGAAGAATAAGACATTAGGAGAAAAAATCGACTCCTATGATGTGATCATAAGGTAAACATAGCACCTATTTGCTAACCTAGAATTGCTCGAAAAGAGTGCGGTTTCCCACTCTAGCATAGCTGTGTCTTAAAAGTGACTGTTTAGGCACCTGATTATATAGCTATCTGCCTTGGTTGCTGGGCACAGTGAACTAGATTTCAGATCACTGATTTAGCAAATATTTAATAAGTCCACTTAGTATGCCAGGGACAAAGTTAGCCACAGGGGAGATCATAGCACGATAAGAATGTTCTTGTTGTGAAGTTTATATTCTAAAGCAAGGGGGAATATATAAGAAGCGATATATAAGAAGATATTGTAAGTTTAGTACAGACAATAGAATTATCAAATGACTAGTTGGGAAAGGGTGAAATTTAAGCTAGACCAAAGGACCCATATAGGACTAGCTAGATGAAGACAATGGGAACACTCTAGACAGAGAGGATGTTTTGCAGGTCCTTCAAAAGCTTTCATCCTGACTTTGTGAGAAGCAGCAGACAACCCAAGCTCAGAGAGTGGTCTAACCAGAAACAGAGGAGGTGGGCAAAGAACAGGCTATAGAGGACATGTAAGATTAAAAGATTGTATGCTAATTTAAGTCCTTTAGGAGCTTTTGAAGCATTTTAGGTAGGAGCTGTTGGTGTCTGGAAAGTATCCAGGCTGCAGCAGACCATGGACCACGAAGGACAAGGCATGGTAGGAAGCGTCAACGAGAAGTTGCTGTATCGAGGCAGTAGACACATGGGTAAAATTGTCATTGATGGGAAGTGGGGAAGTGGCAGACAAGAAAGGGGTTACGGAAAAAGGGGTATCAGGATTTCCTGCTTCATTAGATCAAGTACTGCAAATAGAGGAAGCTCCGTTGATTGGCTGGGGAGTTACAGCATTCATTATATAGCAAGTTTGGGAAACAAGTTTAGGCTCAGGTTTGGAAGAAAATAAAAATTTCTGTATTACTGTGTTATCTTTGAGATATTAGTAGGGAAGTTGACAGTCACATAAAGAGGCAAAACTTTTCAATAGTGACTGTCTTAAGAGCTGTATTTAAACCAAGGGCTTAGTGAAACAGTTTAATACAGTTACTCATGTTGTAGTGCTCCCCTCCCCCAACCATAAACTTCTTTTGTTGCTACCTCATAACTGTAGTTTTTCTACTGTTATGAATCATAGTAAATATTTGATATGCAGACCATCTGGTATACAACCCCAATGAAAGGGTTGAGAACCCCTGCTCTTGGGGTTGCACGTGAGAGGGTCTGGCCCTGATGTTTGCAGCTCTTAATACGTAGAGTGAGCTACCAGTGAGTGAGCTACCAGTGAGGCATGAAGAAAACGGGGTGACCACAGTTGCCAATAGGAAGAGGGATCATTTAGGTCCAATTATGATGAAAAGCGGTGCAAGGGCAGACGGGGGCCAGCTGGATTGTCTGCCCAGCAGTCACTGTCACCCTTGACCAAAAGCTTCAGGTGGGAGATGGCAGGAAGCCCAACTGGAATGAATTGAGGAGAGAATGAAAGATAAGTGGGAGAAACTAGTATGGTCAACTATTGAGAAATCTTCCGAGCAGTTGAAAATGAACTGGGCCCTGGTGGTGGTTGCAGAATCTAAGAAGGCATAAGGTTAAAGTAGTTAAGTAGTGAAGCTGGTGGGATAAAAAGAGGCCCCGGGGTCAAGAGTTCAAGGGTGATTCGTTTTCTGTAATGGAAATTGTTACAGCTACCAATAGTTCCTTAATCATAGTATGGGGGGGGGGGGAGGAACTTTTCTATCTCTGCTGTCTGAATGGAAGGGGAGCTAAGGTTGTTATCTAGGTAAAATTCTCTCCCTGTCTGTGTCCCCCTCCCTTAACTCACCCCCTGCCCCGTATGTTAGGAATAGCTTCAAGCAGCCATTGTAAATGGTGACCAGACCACACTGGGAAGACCTTGCAGTGTGCCTGGAGACTGTCTGGGTTGCAAGCTGATTTCTGCATAGCAAGGTCATCTTACTTCCTGTTTATTACCCATTTTGAAGGAGCTGTGGTAATTTATAAAACAGTTGGATTTCTCTTCTTTCCCACTTACAGATGTTTAATTCTGATAATTTTTAGAACCTCGGCAAGCCTTTGTAGGGAGCACCATGGGGACATTTTTGAAAGCCATCGCAAGCGTCTTGCATTACACAGAGTTGGTGGCAAAAGGGTAAAACGCTATTTATCCGCTGGGGGACATTGTTCTGGAAACAAAACATTCCTTTTTCATATAATGCCTTTATACTGTGTGCACAAACAGTGATTGTCTGACACTGGCCTTAAGCATACACTGATCCAACAGTAGATCTTTTTACTGTTTATAGTTCACTAGCCAAAGGAATTTGTCTAATTGTGCTCAATTCTGTATGATACAGAATTTTTATATAGTTAATTTTAGAATGTTTGTGCCTGTTGCCCGTGGAGACCAGAAGAGGGTAATGGATCCTTTAGAACTGGATTTAGGAATGGTTGTGAAGCCAGCATATATCAGTGCTGGGGACTGAACTCCAGTCCTCTGGATGAAGAGCAAATGCTCTTAACCACTGAGCCATCTTTTGAGCCCCAGAACACAGTTTCACTGGGTCTTCACACTAACTTAAATGGTTCTTCAGGCTCATCAGTCACATGGGTGCACATCCAAGTAATAAGTGCGGCGGGGCTGCGTCCCCAGCACCCAGGCCGCCTGCTAGCTTATGCCCCAAAATAACAACACACAAACTGTATTCATTTAAGCCAATAGTTCCTTAATTTAAGCACTGATTGGCCCATTTCTATCTAGCCTCTTCTAGGCTAACTCTCGCACCTGGACTAGCCCATTTCTAATAAGGTATGTAGCACCGCTAGGTGCGCTTACCAGGAAGATTCTAGCCTACGTCCATCCTGGGTCGGAGCTGCCTGGGAGAGGGAAGCCTGGCATCTCTGCTCCAGAGAGCAGAGCTGTCGAGTCTGAGCTCACTCCCTCTTCCTCCCAGCATTCTCTTGTGTTTACTCCACCCACCTATGTTCTAACCAATAAAATGGGCCAAGCCAGTTTCTTTATTAGCCAATGACCTTCCTCCATCACATCCATATAGTTTTGGGTTATATAGCTTATAGACATATAACTTTCTCAGGAATTCAGGGCCATTAATTACAAATCCAAGGTTGGTTTGTGTGATTATCCCTCAAGGTCTCTTCTAACTATAGTACTTCTGTGTTTTTTGTAGTCTTATTTCTTTTAGTCCTGTGTAGATCAAACTGAATGACTGACGCCGTAATTAGTTTTTGAACACAGACGACTGTCTCATGAAGGAATCATCTCCCTGGTCATCACTGTAAAATATTTTTCAGTTGTCTTGGTGCTTCTGAGTGCAGGAATCATGACTGATGCTCATTCAATTCTGAAGCCTCAGGACCAGACAAAAATGGCTCATACTCCACTCATCCTGTATATACTGTTGTCTTACTATCCGCAGAATGAATAATGGTCCTGTGTTAGGACATGAAGAGGATGTTGGGAGAAGGACAACCTTCAGGCTTTTTTATCCAGAGTCTGTCTTTTCAGATCCCACTCACAATGATCCCAATGCCACGGCAGTTCTCATTGTCTTTAAGCCACAGGATTTAAGGTGGCTCTTGGAAGTAATCAGTGGTAACAACATAGTAAGTTGGCAAAACTATTTGGTTCCAATTACTTTCAGTATTTCCCCTTAAAGAAAAAAAATGTATTCACAACATCCCATTTTCTGTGTCCTTTATTTCAGAACACTAATGGTTTTTGGAAGAAGCCAGCCTTAAACTTGATCTATAAGCTATACCAAATCAGAATTTTAGATCCGTACATTATCAGAGAAGCAGCTCATCACCTGCTTCACTTTCCCAAAGTTTTCCCCAAAGATCAGGTATGTATGTTTCATCACCTAGTTTTGAACTAAAGACCTAGCGAAGGGGACTGAGGGACATTAGAGCTTTTGGAAACCAGGGACCATGGTTTAGATGGCATTGTGTTAGGACTACAACTGTGTGCAGAAATTAAACACCAGATGATATTACCAGATGTTTTACAGGTTGCAAAATAAAGTGGGGAGGGTGTGTTTGTGCTTGTGCGGTCTTCACAGATTCTTTTTCCAAAGGCTCAATAATTCATTTCTTACAACCTCATCTTCAGAGTTGTACAGCAAGGCCAGCATGACTGGTGGGTGCCCAGCAGCCCTGTGTGCAGAATAGCTTTAGGACAAGGAAGTAGTTTTTCAGAGTAGAGAGAATTGTCTCAAGCAATCTGTGTTAGTCAGCTTCATGCTACACGAAATAGCGGAGGTATGCCACTTAGGAAGAAGAGACTCTTAGCTCAGGGTTGAAAGGTCCTACACATACTGAATGTAGCAACCATTGTGGGAGTGTGTTAGAGTACTCATATCTCAAAGGCTGGGAAGAGGAAGGGGCAGTGTTGATCATGAGGCCATAGTAAACGGAGCATCCTTACATTTTATTTAGAGTCTCAATTCTCCTAAGGCTTTGCCTTTTCCATAGCAACTGCACTCATGTTACGATGTTTTGTTTCGGATCAAACAACCACAGCAGGATACTCTTCAATTCACAACTGCTCTCTATGCTAAAACTGCAGCTGTATTTTAGAGACTTCCTAAGATACTAGCCATAGTGTATGTTCTTTTTAGAGTACTGTGTACTCTTTGGGGCTTGAGTCTTAGGATATAATGATGACTTAACTATTTTTCTTTTTAATGTTTAGAAATCCATTTTCATCAGACTAGGTATGTCTGGGAAGAATGTAGCTTATTTGTATTTTTAAGTTACTGATTTCTTCTTAGAAACCCAAACACCCCACGACAGGAATTATTGCCCTCACACTGGCATTTCACATATGCAGTGAAGTTCACCTTGCTGGTTTCAAGTACAACGTTAACAACCCAAACAGTCCTTTACACTACTATGGGAATGCCACCATGTCTTTGATGAACAAGGTAATTTTTCTTTTTTACTGTTTAGAAAAGCCTTACTTTAAGAATTGTGTGTAATGTGTTCATCATGTTTGTGGGTGCACACATGTATGGGTGTCTCTGGGGGCTGCGGGGCAATGTGATGTGTTACTCCTCACCTTGTTTTTCTTTTTATTTTAGCTTTATTTTTTATTTAAAAGAAAAACTATCTTTTTTCATTATACCTACCAATCCCAGTTCCCACTCCCTCCTCTCTTCCCATTCCCTCCACTTATCCCCCTATCCAATCCTCAGAGAGGGTAAGGCGCATGGCTTTGGAGAAGGTCCAAGGCCCTCCCTACTATATCTAGGCTGAGCAACTCACCTTGTTTCTTTAATGCTTTCACTGGTACAGAATTTACTAAGCAGTGACTAGCCAGTCCCAGGGATCAGCCTGTCATTACCTAGCCACAGCTGGGATCACAGGTGTATGCCACCACACCTGGCTTTTTACATATGTGCTGGAGGTAGAACTCTGGTCATTTCAAGTACTTAACTGAGTTTTGTCCCCAGTCACCCATGTGTCCCTTTTCACACCTTTGAGCTTTCAAATGCTGAATCCAGGATCCTGGTCTGAAGGTCATTTTACTATAGCAACAGTTTCTAACTTATAGATCTCAGATTCTTTGGATAGCCCCCACGGTTTCTGCTGTTTCATCAAACCCCAATAGGGACAGAGTCTTATTTGAGATTTCCTTTTTACACTATTTAAATATAATCAGCTGGTGTGTTTGAGACACAGGAATTCACCAAATCATCACTATGGTCATAGTAATTAACTACTTAACTTTCAGTTAAGTAGACAGGTGGTCTAGAAACATGGAACCCTATGAAAGACTTCATGGTGACTAAGTGGCAGAGCTCTTTACCAGGCCATGACCCTCTCCATCAGACACTGATGCTGGTGGACTTGATCCTGAGGGTCCAGTTCTGAATGAGAACGTGTTTCCTACTGTTGAGAGTTCTTAAGATTAATGATACACCATAAATGACACAAAAATGTTATGTTTAAAAATTTGAAATGGGTGATTTGCTCTAAAGTATATTGCAGCAACTCATGAAATCTGCCCTGTTAAACAGCCTCTGAATACCCCAGCTGGGGAAATGATACTTATGATGAATTTTACTGCTGTCTTTTGTTCTTCTAACATGAGACAAATGTTTAAGCTAGGGCTGGAGGGAAAAGCTCAACATTTGTTCTAAGGGTAATCATTTTCCTGATGACAATCCTATTTCATTTTCTTTTTCAGAATGCATATCACAATGTGACTGCAGAGCAGCTTTTTTTAAAGAGAATTATAGAGAAAAATATGGTAATCAACTTGACTCAAGATTGACCATACAGATTCAAAGGATGACGCTAAATAGTATTAGTTTTATTTTTGTACTGAAAATTTTAGTTTATTTTTAAATATGTTGAATGAACTCATCAAATAATTATTATATGTATTGTCTGTTGATGCCTGGTGATTTATAACCACCAGCTTAATTTCTGTGAATGTATTTATGAAATACAAAACAAACCTTTTAGTTATGATATCAGGGAACTATTTAAAGTTTTGACTGTTGTTTAAAACAAGCTGGTGTTTTGAGGTGTTTTAAAATACCTTTTTGTAGTCCCTTCATCTTAGAGTTCTAGGTGATTGTTGATGTCACTAGTTTTGATGGTCACATGTCATTCTGAGACAATTATTTATTATTTGTTATTCCTGCCATATGACTGAGGGCCAGGTGCAGGAAACTAGAACCACTTGGTTTTGGAAGTCCATGGTGTGGTGTTCAGAGTGGTTTAATTAAGTTCCCCATGCAATTAAGTAAACTAGTAATGACTTGCAGTGTTGGGGAGTAAATCAGTCTTTCTTACATATGCTAAGATGAGCACTCTCACCTTGATGAGCGTCCTGAGATTTTCTTTGTGGGGGGTGGGATGAGGCAGGTTCTTACTATGTAGCCTAGGCTGGCCTCGAGAACTTTGGTTCTTGCCTCACCTTCCCAAGTTCTGGGATTACAATTGTGTACCACTGTACCCTACAGCATCATTTTTTTTTAAATTAAAAAAAAACATTTTTTTTTTTTTAAAGACAAGGTTTAGCTCTGGATGGCCTAGAACTACAGTGCAGTCCAGGCTGGCCTTGAACTCAGAGATGGGCCTACCTCTGCCTCTGGAGTGCAGGGATAAGGGCAAGAATAAGAAACTTAAGTAATTTTCCCAGTGTAATGTATCCACTGACTCTTAAATGTTTATTTGAAGCAAATTAGAAAAGTAAACCAATGACAGTAAAGCCTTAAGATTCCAGCTGATTCTCTGTTTGTATAAAAAAAAAGTCAGCATTTCATGACTAAATTTAGCCTTCACTAAAACATTTACTAGGCCACTTCTGGTACACTAGAGGAAAGTCTGATGAACCACAAACAAAAGTTAGCCCATGAAGCAGTCTGTAATTGTTAATACACACAAGCAAAGGCTGCCGGGGGCAGGAAGGGAGGAGAAAAGACTAGCAGAGGTGGCAAGGATGGATTCAGATACCATCGGAGATCTGAGGAGAACAAGAGTCACTGTCCTTGGAGCAGCAAGCATTATGGGAAATGTAAGTCGTACTGGCAACCAACTTGCCTCCCTAAAGAGAGTACACGTGAAGAGTTAAATTCCAGGAAAACAAGCAATGAAATATTGAAAACCAGCTCTTGTGTTGAATGGGTAGTGAGGCTAGCTCATACTAGAACAATGCCCAGCTTCGTAACTCAGAGGTGGAAGCTGGGCACTAGAAGACTCTACGTGTTCATGAGGTGTTTCCTTCTCACTGCATGGCCACAGGGAGCTGGGCTGCCCAGGTTCATGTTCGTGGTATGTCAGCGGGGAGCTGGCGGCAGAGAAGGTGACGGGGAGCAAAGGAGAAAGAACAACGGGAGCATTTTGAAATGATGCTTTAAGCACTATAATCTTGGTCATAAAAATGTGATGTCAATGCTGAGAAATCTGGCATTTTATGGAGTAAAAAGGTTGTTTTATTTAATCCAAATAATCTGAGCAAGACACACATATATAATTTATTAAAAACACATTAGAATCTCACTATTTCCAACAGCCTAAATTCTAGCAACATATACAAATATCAAGTGACTACAGTACATGCCGAGGTAAGAAAATACATTCTGGGAGAATATAACCGAAAGTCAAGCCATTTTCACTTCCTCTGTATTGCAATACATGTTTTATTTTTACCATTCCCAGTGCCAAAAGTGGAAAACAAGGGAAACTACACACAAGCTGGACTAAATAAGAATCGGTGCCACAGTGAACTTAAAACATTCTCTAACTCTCTAACCACCCAACCCCCTAGGTTTGCAGTTTAGGGACTTTTCAAGTTCAAAACCAAAAGGCAGAATTAACAGCTCCTCTACAGAGCTTCATTAATCCCCCATAGTCTCTGGGTTCTTTCTAGTGGTCTTGTCTGCTTTAGTTTTCTACTCCCCAGGTGATAATGTGGAGCCAAGGCAAAGAAGCTCTCGCTCAATCCCTGACCACAGCTCTGTGGCCACAACCATATTTAATACTTCGTCGCTGGGACAGGGAGAGGAGATGCACAGACGTAGAACACATCATAACCGTCATGACTGTATAAATTCTCTCAGTGAACAGCGAATAAACCCATTGTTCAATGCAAAGTGCAAACAGTGAAACATGAATGAAATAACTGGACTAGACCTGGCACATTCAACAGGAACTATCTGGATCTACGAACAGCATTTGATAAAATGCAAACCAGAGTTAACATCTTTCTCTGTGCTGCTTCCAAAGATCAAGTAACAGCCAAGTCAGTATAATTTTCTGAAACCTCCAAAGGTCACACTTGCCACACTGCTGACTATATATTTCTATAATTGTATTATCAGGAAAAGGAAAACTGAATAAAACCACAGTGACTTAAGTATTGAGTATTTCAAGCTAACAATTAAAAAAAAATCAAGAGTTTGGTCAAGAAAAGGTTCCTTTCACATTTTACTTGATTGTCTTCCAAAGCTCTGTATCAGACATGTAAGTGACTGAGAACCAAAAACAATCTATATTACATAAACAAAAATACAAAACCAGAGAAAATCATTTGAATTAGGCTCAGCTCATCTGCAAAGTAAAAAAAAATATAAAAATAACCAGGTATTTTATGAAAACCATTGGTAGAGCTGAAGACAGCACAGTGGCAATATGAATCAAGTCTTACAATATGCATCATACGAGAACATGGCCTAGCTTTATTTTAAGAACGTTCTGGGGAAAATGATCTGAGACACAGTTACACAAAATAGCAAGCTTCTTTGGGAAAATGACTTCATCTTCAAAATGTCTCTCTTAAAGCTTCCAATGGGAATCGGACTCCAAGAAAACTATACTCTGCCTACTAAGCATGAATAAAAATAAAACAGCAAATCGTTTACTTTGCTCCCACCTGAAAAGGGACAACTGCACCGTGTGCTTTACACATTCTCAAATGTTTCAGTACGAGTTTAATATCTGTGCTTTTTGCTTCATTACCTTGAAACAAAATATGCATTGATTTTTCAATGAATGAAATTGTGCCTCAACAAAAGGCAAATTACAATAAAAAAAAAATCATATTAGGGGCAAAGGCAGGGAACCTGCAGAAACAGACAACTCTGTTTCTGAAGCAATGTTTTAAAATACTGATGTACTTGTGGAAGGGAGCAGAGTCAATACTGGCTACCACTATCCAAATTTAGTAAAGTTCAGCAATGCAGAACCTGGATGGTATAAGCTGAGGAAAAAGGCCAGGACCTGATGGCCTGATATACTTTACAACTAAGCCAACCAACAGGTTTGTGGACAGGGATACGGAATTTTATGTCTACATCTGATGGGCTTCTTCAGTTATCTTGCCAGCCTACAGATATGAGAAGGTGGTTTCTGCACTGTAGGCTAACCCATTATAATATCTAATCAACCCTATCTGACACGAGTCTGGGCAGGTTATGCTCAAACAGTGACAAGCTGCTGGGGAGAATCGTGTCAGTTCAAAAGTGATGACACTGGTCAACCAGGTCTGACACTTAGGCCTCTCTCCACAGAATTAGACACAACTGAAGAATGCATGTTGACCCTCTTTTCTCTTTTTAGTACTAGGACTGAATCTAGGGCCTCACATTTACTGTAGGCAAGCACAAACCACTAAGACAATATCCCTGCCCCTTTCTTATTTTGAGACAGGATTTTATGAGTAGCCTGGGTTCATCCTGAAGTTAGACTTCAAAGCACTGAACTTGGGATCCTAATGCCTCAGCCTCTCAGGTCTTAGGATCGCAGGCCTGAGCCATCAGGTCTGGTTCATACTGGTTTTTTCTTTTTCTTGTAATAGTTTACTGAAGAAAATAGAAACAAATTATGATAAAAATTATAAAATACCTTGGGACTCAGAGAAAATTTTTGTATTTGGGCTTGTATGTAAATAAAATCAAGGAGGTTAACTAAGTTTAGTCTCCCTTCAATTTTTATATATCTCTGCAGAGGGGAGTGGAGGGACCAAGTGGCTTCTCCCCCATTTCCATGGGAAGAAGACCTAAAGACTGCCTACTGAAAGGGACCACCAGCATTTATAAACACAGGATAGAATGAGGCCACAAATGGTCCTGGGTGGGATGAGCAGAGGCGAGACCAGGTCCTGAGCCACCTGGTGTTAAAAGAGTGTTACCAAAGGAGAAGTCAGTCACCCAGCGTACTGCAAGGCCATGTGCTCCAGCTATGCACCTTCCTAGGGAAATACAGAGCAGTGCACACGCCTGCAGCTATGACGATGGTTATGGACCGCTGTTGAGGAGAAAAGATTGCAGACAGGAATACAGGGTTGAAAGAGGAGAACATGATAGTACCTACCTTTCACAAAGGGAGAATTTCAAGCCATTTGATAATTTCAAGAACAGTACCATGCATTATTGCCAGCAAGGCTTACAGAACCATCTCAAGTTCATTAATGTACCTGCAGCATTGGTAATAAATACTCAGTGATTCTCAGGTTCTTTGAAGTGCATTATAGGGAGCTTTTTCGGTATTAAAAATAGTGTCTTACAGTAGTAACAAACAGGATGTTTGAAGTGTAACAGGCAAGCAGGAACTGTGCCACACAGTAACACCTTTAAAGCAAGATGGCAAGGTAAGTAGTTTCTTGTACCTCGGTCACCACATTCCCCTAACCACGTCAGTGACAGATACATAATACATTCTACTATCACTACACTACGGATTAAAAAGCCATGTGCTTTAAATGGATGCTTCGTCAAAAGCAGCACCACCTTCAAAGGATTTCTTTCAAAGCATCACGCTTCTCATCCCTTCCTGCTCCTGATATTTCCTGGGTGCTCTGTGGCACCTGGTACACCAGTTCCTCTGGGGCAGCGGCTGGCTTCCCACCTTTCGGGGTGTCGTACTGAGCCTGGCCCGAGGAGCAGCTGTCAGTCCGGGAGAGAAGTGTGTTGTAAGTTCCCACTAAAGCGGGAGGAGGTTGGTTCCCTGCTGTTTTGAAAGTAGACGTGGAGGGCAGACCAACTGAGGCTGTGGGGTGCCCTGACATGTCCATGACGATCGGGGTTGCGTACTCAGGCCCCGTGATGGGCAGCGGTTCCGCATAGGCGTGGTACACTTCCTGCACTGGAGAGGTGTAGGGATCCAGGTCTGCGTAGCCTGCTTCTTTTCCCTCCTCAGGTTTAAAGGTGGATCTCTGATGGAGCGTGCCCACGACTCCTCCCACGAGGGGTTGTGCATATTCTGTTGTACAAGACACAAGGAGATGCTTATCTGATGAAAACGGAGTACATACTTTAAGGTGACAGCTACAGGTTGCAAAAACCATACCTTACATCATGCACTGTTATCTTTATCAATGTAAAACTATAGAATCCCCACCCACAGGGACCAGCTGAAAAATGAGTGTTGTCTAGTACCTCACAGTAGTAACCTGACACAACAGAAGGCTTCATTTCTATCCTTTTGCATCAAGTATTTGTTCTTTAGACTCACAAGCAGTACCTGCACAGAAGTAGTGTTTTCTTAGTGGAGTAAGATTAGTCTCAGGAAACATCACCTCTTCTTCCCTTTGAAACTATCGGGAAATGCTTAGAATGGACATGTACGAGGACAGCAGGATGCGCTGTCTCTCAGCTTTTCCTGACCTTTTATTATTTTGCGTATTGGCATTCATTTGTCCATACGGAGGTAAGCGGTCAACAGTGAGCATTATTCCTTATGAGCCGTCCACCTTGTCTCTCACTGAGACCTGGGCTTGCCTATTTATTGGGCTAGCAAACCAACCCCCCCAGGCTAACAGATAGAATACCCAGGGTCTTTAGAAAGCAATGCTTCTGTTTTATGAACAAAATATCTAAGCAGAAATGATTTGTTCTCTCAAGGTTATCATTTGAAAAAGTTAACCTTCAGAACATAGTTTATCTTAAAATTTTTATGTGCATGAATGTTTGCCTACATGCATGTCTGTGTACCTTGTGTGTGCCTGGTGCCTACAGAGGTTGGAAGGAGTCTGATCACCCAGAACTAGAGTTACAGATGGTTGGGAGCCATGCATGTCTGTGTACCTTGTGTGTGCCTGGTGCCTACAGAGGTTGGAAGGAGTCTGATCACCCAGAACTAGAGTTACAGATGGTTGGGAATGGAACTCAGGTCCTCGGCAAGAACCACAAGTGCTCTTAAGTGCTGAGCTGTTTCTCCAGCCCCAGAACACAGATTATTCTTAAGATATGAAAAACATCAAACATACTGTAAATCCTAAAGTCCTTGGAGTGAGCGTAAGTGTTCCTAGTCTCACCTGCAGAATCAGCCTGGAGCACTGTGGTGACTTCTCTCGGGCTCAGGTGACTAACTTCACTATTGCTGTAGCGAACTGGCGTCTCCTCATGTTCCACGGATTTGGCAGGGAGAAACTGTTTCACGCCTTTCCACCAACCTTCATTGTGATTGTAAGCCAGGGACCAAGTGTTACTTACAGAGACCAGTTCTATAGAAACCAGGTTCATGTTTGTGGGGACTGTGCTGACAGAATGCCTAGCAGCAGTATCTACCCAATGTGCATGCAGAAACAAATCACTACTAATCCATGGGCAGACAGGGCCACCTCAGTGTTTTTAAAAAGTTTTTCTCAGAACCTCTCACTTTTTGGCTGTCCCTGGGCTGGACTGTTTAGCCAGTGGCCTGCTATACTCTGGTCATGGCATTGGCCTTTTCCCTAAGGGTTACATTAGGAAGGGGGCTTTTAGGAATTCAGATGACCAAGGCCTTCAGGGGTTCTTAAAGAACAGATCCCACTGGTGAGCAACATGGCAGACTCACATACATACACTGTTCCTAGGACTCCGGGTCTTGTTTGCTTTTATTTTGGGGGGGTTGTTTTTGAGATACGGTTTCTCTGTAGTCTTGATTATCCTGGAACTCTCTTTGTACATCAGTATGGCCTTGAACTCACAGAGATCCACTAGCCTCTGCCTCCAAGTGCTGGGATTAACACTGCCTGGCTGGTCTCCTCAAGAGGAGTAATCACAGGAAAAGACCAACTTTTCAGAGGAAAAGATAACGATGGGTGTTGCAAGAAATTTACATTTTCCCTTTAATCACTTTACAAACCAGATGGTGGGAGCATGTTAATTTTTTTCTAATAACTTGTTTATTTTTATTTCATGTGCATTGGTGTTTTATATGAATGTATGTCTGTATGAGAGTTCCCGAATCTCTGGAGCTGGAGTTACAGACAGTTATGAATCAACATGTGGGTGCTGGGAATTGAACCTGGGTCTTCTGGAAGAACAACCAGTGCTCTTAACCACTGAGCCATCTCTCCACTCCAGTAGAGCATGTTAGCTTCTAACTGAGGCGTCATCACTAAGGGTTGAGAACATCTTTCCACCACTATACCCAGTAGAGGAAAGATACCTCTCTGACTGGACGGAGAAGCTAAACTCACAAGTTACCTGCCCGATCCCAGTGCGGTAAGTCATAGGTGCCTTCAGTTTTTTTCTTTCTGAAAACAAAAATTAGAAAACAGTCAATCCTCTAGTAAAAATCTCCCAAAGGGTAGCACAGATACCAGTTATTAGTCAGGAGCATGTGGTCCTTTGGCACAGATAAATTTTGAGTCTCTCATACTCTTAACTGTATAGCTGTCCTCACCCAATCCCCAGCAAACACTGCTATCACTAGCAGTGACTGGTGGAGGGAGGAGAATGTTTCTGCAGGCCTGGAAGGTTCTACAGAGTCTGGGAGGAAGAAAAAGGCACAGGTGCAATGAATAAGACCATTCCCAGCCTAGTCCCGACCTCAGAATTCTCATTTGGCCTCATCAGGAGAACTGGTCTCTGCTAAGAATCACTATTTACTGAGAGCCCTTTTATACATAAGGAAATCGGCAGTGAAAGGACATTTCCTGATACAAGGAACAATCTCACTTGGACTGCGGAGATGGTTCCACAGGTAAGAGGTGCTTGCCATCAAGCCTGGGGACCTGACTGTGAACCCTGGAACCACAGGGTGCACAGAGAAAAACACATGCAGCATGGTATGTGTGTATCTGTTTACACAATATACAAACGTAAAGATCAAGCCAGATCAAATTCCAGCAAACAGAAGGGACGTGGTCATGAATTTCCAACCCCTCTGAAGAGCTGTTGACCTGAAGAGGGAGAATTAATTAGTTTTCTTCAAGGGTGTTGCCCCTGGTAGGTGGATGGCCACACACCCAAGAGTCGACAAACACTGATTAAGTTGGATAGGTGAGAACACAAAGTTGGGTGGGTATGGAATAAGGGGAGGGTGGATCTGGGAGGAATTGGGGTGGGGGGTGAGTATGATCACAATGTAATTATGCAATTCTCAATTAATAAAAATATTATAAAAAACCAAAAAGGAATTACTACTTAGAGCCGTTTACAGAGAAAGCCTAGCAAATGAAAGGCAATTGATAGAAAAACATGCAAATCTAATTAAACGCAAGTTAGTGTTTACAGGCAGGCCATGAGGAAAGCAGAAATTATTCTTCTTTACAATGAGGACACACATAGCTGTGTGATTTGTTGTTTAAGATCCTAAAGAGCTCCAGCCACTTACGTTGCCTGCTAGGATGTACAGATCTTATAGCAAGGGGTCAATACTTGGCACAAGGTCACACCAAATACAGTGTTGTTGAATGGATGACTAAAGGAAGTCATCTTCTTTCTCTATCAAGCCTGTCCCTCCTGCTGTTATCTCAACTCATGGCATCACTACTAGTCAAACTCCAAAAGCCAACGTCCTGCATCCTTCTGACACGCTGTAAAACAAGTGCTGGGCTGCACACCTGCTCGACCAACTGGCTTCAAAATTCATCTGAATGCCTCTTCTCACCTCTTTACTATTCACCTGACACAGACTTCACAAACTCTGCCACTTTCTACAGCCATCTGACTATAATCATTCCCTCAACACGAAATACTTTTCTAATCTATAGAACAAAACCCGAAAGCCCTTCGTGATCCAAGCTCAGAGTGCACTTCCACAGTTCCATCGGTACACCCCGATGCCAGGCTCATAGATGACTCAGTGCGTATCCTGCCTACCTTACTTAAACAACTCGCCCATTTTGGACTATTAACTGTGATAAGACCCAGTGCCTGTGTCTCTCCAGGATTCAGATGTTAGAATCCTAACCCCAAACGGTGATGGTGTTGGGAAGGGGGGTGCTAGGAGGGATCAGGTCATGACTGCATTGGAATAAGTATCCCTAGGAATGGCTGAAGGGAGCTTGTTCATCCCTCTACTGTCTGAACCACAAAGGGGTCTCTCGCTAGCCACTCATCTGCCAGCACCTCAGGTTCCAGTTCTCAGCCTCCAGAACTACAACAAGGAAATCTGATTTACAAACCACTTGTTTTATGGTATTTTCTTCTTGCAAACTGAACATTAACACATCTACTTTCTTTTATCTGAGTAGATCCTGTTTCTTTAAGCAAAACGTGAAGCTGCCCTTCCTGAAGAGAGGGTTTCAGGCTGACTCTCATGGTCTTCCCAGTACTTCATTTATATGGCCAAACATGAGTGTTTCTTATTTTGGTAAGCCAACTCTGCTAAACATGTTAGAGAGACCAGCGAGTCTAATTTTTTCAGTGTTACCAAATAGCTGTATGTTCATCTTAATGTATAGGTCAACAGGAACAGCGCAGACCTCGTTTATCATTGGAGCTCCACAGGAACTAACTGTCCTCGGAGATGAACAGGTGAACTGTACTGGACTTCCATTATTATATATATAGGATATGTTCCCCATCACTGCGTGTCTCCCAGGATCAATCATAGAAACAAGCTCGGTACTGACCTGTTTCTCCAATGCCACGCGCACACTAAAATGAGGATGAGCGTGGTGAGAGCCATGACCAGCACAGGAACAAGAACGGCAGCCAGTGCGACATCTGAAACCATGAAACAGAACAATCACATTAACAGTAAAGCAGAAATCACCACAGAAAAGAAATAGAAGCTGAGGCTTAGCATAGCAACACTTAATCTTAAATATCATTTATGAAACAAGGCTGGCCACCAATGGGTAACACAGGCTTGTGAACATGTCCTTCAGCATGCCCCCCAGGCCACCTCTACCTCTACCTCTGAACATGTCTGAAATAGATGCAGCATAGATTTTAAATTACCAAAAGTTGAAAGACAAATGATAAACCAGAAAAGCATCTTATGCATACATAGTAGAGTGTATGTTATAAGACACAAGTCAAAACCACGCAAAAAGTTCATGGTCAATTACCAACCCATCCAGAAAATACAAAGAAGCCTCAGATGCAAAGAACTACTATTGAAAACCAAGACAAGGTGCTACTTTTGCTTATGGCACTGGAGGCCATTAAAAAAAGAATGTGTATTTGTTGGAAAGGACAGCGGGGAGCAGGTTTGTTGATGAGAAAGAATATAAATACAGTATTTCTGATTGGTCTTTTGAGGCAGTATGTCTAAGAACCTATTAAGAATGGCCATTCCACATCAAGAATTTATTCTTGGGAAGACATCAAGTCAAAGATACATCTTCAAAGATGCCCAGAAGAGTGAAAACTGGAAGAAACCTGAATATCTAGTGAAGATCTGTACTATCTTCACAATAGATCAGAAAATAGCAACCAAAAATGATGTTATAATAAACATCTGTAGCTGTGGCCAGGTTACAGTGCAGGCATGCAAAGAAAGTAATCTGTACATAAACAGTCAGAAACACACTTGATGCTGGAGTGGGCAGGGACTTAGACATCACCTTCTCTCCTCATCTCATCCCACAGAAAATGGTCTGCTCAGAGCTACTTGGAATAGTAATTCTTTCCTCTTCCGCCAGTGAGCAGGACAGGGTAGCACGTGCCGACAGGTCACTGAGGGCTCAGAATGGACACTGTCTAACCCATAGCTTCTCCTTTACCCTCCACCATACTGTATGTAAGAAGGGAAGAACACACCACAGAAGGGAGCAGCAGGGGAGGGTGGAATAACATCAGGTACTTAGAAAGCAGATGCTTGGGTCCAGGTCCAGGGGAAGGGTTTCATCCTGGGTAGCACAGAAGACTTCCTTTATCAGTGCCTTAGACAGAGCATAGAGCAGAGTTAAGTGTGCAGGCTCCCCCAAAAGGGATTTTCCTTTTCATGGTTTCTGCCTTGAAAAGGTGGAGGGGATAAAGGGGCTGTGAGTGAAAAAGCTCTTGATGAAGCATTTGAGAATATGGGGAGTATTTAAAATAGTTTTAGTAGAGAACAAGCAGAAGAGCTCACTGGAAGTATCTGACCATGATATGATTTTCTCCATGAAATTAAGTGCAGGAAGAGAAAGAGGAGCAGGAGCAGTAGATGAAATAAAACCATGACCAAGGCCAGGAAGCACTCAGAAATCAGAAAAATGAATAAGCCTTTTCCTTACTGTTTTTAGAGCTGGAGGGAATGTCATAAGGTTTACATAACTAGTCTGATTAAAACCCAGACATTAAGACATCTGCCTAGACGCAGGAATAATGAAGTAGCAGCCTTGTAAAGACGAGGTCTTGAATTCAGTCTCCAGAAACCATGTTAAAAACACAAAAAAAGTAGGAGTGTTGGCATGTGCTTGTAATTCCAGCGTGGAGGAGGCAGAGAAAGACATATCTGGGAGGCCTGCTGGCCAGCAAGTTCCAGACCAGAAGGAGACCCTATCTTACAAAAAAGGTGGACAGAGTCTGAGGAACACATCTGAGATGCTTTTGTCTTCTTATGCAAGCACAATTTAGCTTAGACTTGAACAAAACATTGTACGTCTACATTGTTACCCGGAAGCTGGGTATGCTCAGCTGATTGCTCAGAGAACTCTGGTTTCTGACTAGCTTTTCCTATACTACAAGGAAGATGAAGACAGGCAAGAAGCTCATGGATGGAAAGCTGGAGAAAATAAGCTGAATTTAAGCAGATTTTTAGAAAATGAAAGTAGTTATTAAATTCTAGAAAGGAGCTGGTGGGATGCTACAGTGAAAGAAGTGACCTCCAAGTGGCCAGAGTGTCCTGACTGGAGAAGGAAGCATCAAGACGAAAGAAACCGACCACATCAAGGCTGGAAGCTTTTCCCACACGAGATTTCATATATAAGCAGAGAATGCGTGAGAAAAGCCAGTGGCACCAACAGGAGAGTGGGCACAGTTAGAGGTCCTATAAGGGCTGCATGCCGGATGCCCCAACAATTTTGAGGCTTTCCTTCGTTCAGCTCACCAACCCCACTTGCACTCCGGACATGTGGTTTCTTTCTTCATAAGCTGTCTCTCTACTTTTATTTCTAACCACGTGACCTGGTACAACCCTCGGTGTGGGGACATGAGTCTGAGGTCAGTCCAGTATCCTCTGAACCCAGAACCACAGCCTGGCGCCAAGCATGCTTTTCCTTCTTTCTCTCTCGGATGTTCTATGTTTCCCCGCCTCGGATGGTTGGGATGGGGTGGGGTGGGGTGTTTCTCAGTCTTTGAGGCCGTCTCCTCCTCTCCCCCACAGCTGCTCACCCTGCTTGCTTTCTCCTTTCCTCTCCTCCAGCTCCCTGACTCTGCGGCTGTGGAGATTGACAGCTCCCTGACTCTGCGGCTGTGGAGATTGACAGCTCGCTGCCCTGCTGCTTCCTTCTCATGAGGTACAAAAACCACCCTAGAGCCTGCACCTTTGTTAAGGAGACAGGAACTAGCAGGTCCCTAGTGACACTTTCTTCTCCACACTTTGCTGAAAATGAGTGGTTTTCACCAGTTAGCACTGGCAGTAATTCTCTGACACTGGTGCCTTTGTTTCTGAATTTAATGGACATTTTCCTTCTCAGCGAGTAGAAAGAATCATAGTGGTTTGTACACTGTAACACTGCAGTCATCACCGTCATACCACTTAGAAGCAATTCTAGTGCTTGAATGAATTATCAGGAACAAAACCCCAAAATTACAAATGTATAGAATGCAGAGGGCTTTTATTTTTTAGATTAGAATGCTACTTGAAATATTTTTTAAAAAGCATTTGTTTCTACTCAAAAGTTCTGTGTTTTTTTTTTTTCTTGCCTCTATTTGTAATTTAACACATAATATGGGTAAAAATGCTTGTTTGCTGCTGTGGCTTAATAATTTCTAGAAGTAATAAGTTTCTGAGCTTGAGAATCATGTGTTTAGTTGATGGGGGTCATGAGGGGACGCTTACAGAACAGCCCAGCACAACAGCTGAGTATCAGGCTTACACGAAACAGAGAACAGACCTAGGTTCTGTTCTGACCAAAGAACATGAGGGCTTTTCCCTAAGGAGAGAAGTTCATATTTATTTATTTTTTCTTAGATGAGCTGCAAAAGCTATAGGAAAAGTCAGTAAGCTGGAAACCCTGAGTTGAAGACAAGAAACCCCCATGAGGTAACCGAATCGCGCCTGGTCTGCCTACCTTTGGTTACATTGGGAGTTACGGTCGTATTTTTTATATCAGGAGTGGCAGTTGTCTGTGCTGTCTGTGCAGGAAGGTCATTCCTACTTCGAGGTTGAAGTACTTGAGTAAATTTAGGGGCACGACCTTGAAAAAAGTTTGGAGAAATCTTTATTTTTTATCATTAGCAACTTGATTACAGTAAGTTAATTTTTATAATGTTTTAGATATATTTATAGGACATTATGTCATAAATCCAGGGCATATCAAACTCATATATTAAAAGCATACATTTACCTAGTTTGGGATGAGCTGTTGTGTTCTTGAGGTTATTGCTGTTCCGAGGTGGAGGAGGCTGAGTAAGCTTTGGAAGACGGCCTTTAAAATGGTTCAGAAATGTTTATACATATTACTTTTAAAGAATAATAGTTTAAAAAGACTAACGTTAAACGGTCAGGTCATCAATTCCTAAATCATTTTTGCAGAGCAATTTTAAATCTCAGAATCCAGATGGATAAACTCTATATTAAATGTAGAAAAGCTAAGACTTTGCAGCTTTTAAATATTTATTAATAAACAACCTTAGGAGAATACTGGGGAGCAGAATGCTGTTGGACTCCATAGCAATAGTTCAATATGTGCCATCTTTAGTGCATTTAGTAAGTATGTATAGGCAGCCAACTACGTCAGGCACAGTGGTAGTTTTGTAGGACAGAAGAGCAAATGACAGCCAGGTGACAGTGGCCTTTAATCCCAGCACTTGGGAGGCAGAGATAGGAAGATCTCTGAGTTCAAGGCTAGCCTGATCTAGAAGGTGAGTTCCAGGACAGCCAGGGTTGTTACATAGAGAAACCTTGTCTTGAGAAACAAAATAAACAAACAAAAGAATATATAACATTAAATGTTATAAAATATTGAGTGAATTATTACAGTTTTTAATTACTTGAAAACCAAAGTTACTTATGCTAAGGCTGCTGCTCAAATCTCCAGTGTACATATCTCATCACACAAAAGCTGAAGATGAGTCTTTAAGACTAGAGTCGAAATATGATGCTGCCTTTTCAACTGCAGTTTTAAACTGATGATCAGGAAAACAAATTCCTACTAGAGAAAGGAGACTGACAGGTTTCTAATACAAAGAATGGTATCCAGCTGAAGTGACGGAGAGGGCCATTACTGGTCATCATGTCTGTGGACACGAACAGAAAGCCACAGTATCCCACGTGTGCAGTTACTAAGGGCCCGTGCAGCGGGAAATGCAGAAGGGGAAGCAGTGCAGACCACTGCTATGTGCGCTGACTCTTTACCTTTGAGAGCAAACTGACATCCAAGCAGTTCCACTTTCAGGGCAATTTTCTGTTGCCACTGGACAGGGTTCACTCTAATGAAACGTGCAATAATTGGTGGCAAAAAGTTATTACGAACATCCTTGTCATAATCTTTGTTTCCTTGAAATATCTTTAAAAAATAACAAAAATTGGTATTTTACATCAAAAGAGACCAGAACTGGACTGCTCCACTTAAGCATGTTCAACAACATCTGTAAAGTATGACAACAGAACAGACTGCTCAGAAAATGACTTCATTACAAACTGGAGAAACAGTTATTCAGAAGCTGCACAATTTCCACTGGAACTAATATGAGGGAAATACTAACACATCAACTATAAAAATGCTTTTAGGCTGGCTGAACAGGAGTGCTAACCCGGCAGCCTGGGAGAAGTTTCAAATGCAACAACACAGTTAATTGAATCAATAAACTATCAGCCCCAGTCCTTGTGAAATTAATAATTATTTAAACATATTGATTCTACTTGGAAAGTGAAAAACAGCCGACCCAACAAGGGCCTGGTCGCACTGTTCACTTGTGCACCATTTCCCTCTAGGCTGGACCTGAATGTAGACTGAGAAATGTAAACAAGCCTATGCCTCCACCTGGTGGACCTACTATAATATGGCATGCCCCATATCACAACCCAGTTCAGTACTTGTTGCTCATATGAAGTAGCAATAACCGAAACAGTGTTCCCGTCTATATGGTGACTGTAACTAAACAGCTAAAAATGTATTACATAAACCATCTTTAAGTAAAAACATGATTTAAAGTGACAGCTCATTCCCTTTCAAGCAAAAGTATTTTATACTCTATATAAATAAGAGCTGACTCTTATTTATAAAGAATTTTCATGTACTTGCCATAAATGATTCCCAAGGCAGGGCACAGAAAGCATGACTCATAGAATAACAGTGGCGAGCAGCAGGGAGCTGGCATGACTGAGTCCTCTACCTTAACCACAGGGCTGCACTAGCTAAGCAAGGCCTTGCTTTCCCCTTGTGCCAAATCAATGAGGTCCATTCAATTATAACCTAAGGTGAGAACACGCACATACTGGACATGCCAGCCCAAATATGATAACTATGTCTTCTGGGCCCATCCACAGGTAACTAAATTATATACTTTTAAAGATACATTAAGATCTATAACATTCTATAGGGTTTGCTCTGAGCTTCCAATAACCTCCACTTCTATAAACTTCTATGATTTCCTCAGATACTGCTCTGAAATAGAACAAAGGCAGAAACTGCAGTTTTGTTATTAGGGAACAGGAATTAACTGAAGCACCACTTTGGGACAAGACTAGGCTGGGCTATATGAGACCCTGTCTCAAAAGCAAAATGCTATAGTTGATCTACCAACATTTACTGAGAATCTGGTACACAGGGAGGTTTGTAAGAAGCCACCCGTAGGAAAAATAAAAGCAGAAATAAAAGCCTACTCATGGAGTCTGTCATATGGGGCATTATCTCTCACACACTCTCTCATCCCCCCCCCCAAATACACACAAAGATGTGTAATATAATGGAAGCAATAGATTATGAAAGTTTAGGAGATATATTGATCATGTTTTCTGGAAATAAAAGCAAATGTAGGCTTTGTATGTATGCAGACTTAAAAGATGTGTGAAAATAAACACATCGATTACCCAAAAATAGAGCACAACAGATTTCAGTGAGGAGAAAGAGTGCTGTTTGATGCAAATCAATGTAAGACATTCTCTGCTGTCTGTAATTGAGTGACAGGAGCTGGACCTCAGCCATAAACAACTGAGAAAATGGGAAAGTTCATGACGAACTCAAGACACTGGGCAACAGGAAGCAGAGGGTAGGTAAGAACCACAGAGAAGGAAAACAGACAAGGCGAGCCTTGCTCATCGGTGCCAACTGGTGAATTTCCAGGTTACAGGGCAAGAATATCCCATATAACCGGCTGCTCTATTGGTGGTGGAGACAGAGTGAGGGACCATGAGGCCAGCAGATATCTACAATTGCTGGCGTAGAGTTTAATGCATAGAGCAGGAAGCTGGAAAGGAACAGAATAACGACAGCAGGAATGGACCAGCTAGACAAAGGTTAGTAGGCTCTGCAAGGGGATTTCCCTTAAGCCCTCACCATACGCCAAGACACAGCTTAGAGTCCGAAAAAGAACCCCAGGGCCAGTAAACAATCTTAAAATGATTGTTTTAAGGCAGCAAAATACTCTACATCAGTAGTGCACACAATGGAGAAGTCTCATAATGCATGTGATGTTGTCTCAATGGTGTCTGGCAAGTTAGAACCCAAAGCTGCTCATTGCCTAGCAACTCTTTGAAAGTCAAGACCTGAAGAGAAAAACAAAAAACAAACAAACAAACAAAAAAACCCTGTTTTCTGACAGCTTAATTTCATCCCAGAATAAAGCTCAAACACATATAAAGAATTATGATAATAAAAGCATCCAGCAGCAATCAATGGCATAATAGCTGGCTTTGTGATATGTAGGATAGAGTTACTGGATAAGCACACCAAAAGAGTTATATGCTCAATGTTCCATGTACCTATGAAGAAAAACATGAAAGAAAAAATTAAAACTCAAGGTGAAAATAAAGAAGGGAAAATATAGTACTGGAGCTAAAAATGCATTAGATGGGGCTAAAAGGTCAGATACTGCAGAAAAAAGGCAATAGAAAGACAAAAAAGTAGGAAATCTCCAAGCTAAGTCATGGAGAGGTGGAAAGAAAAGAAAAAGACCAGAGCACCAGGGCCACTGTGAGGTTGCCTCCAGGGATTAGGAAATATGCATGGGGAGAAGAACTGAAGGGACACACTGCACTTCTCACTGAAAGAAAAGGCCATCTTCACCTTCCTTGGGGATAGAGATTCCTCCTCTTAAAGATTCTCTCAATGATCACAGCCCAGAAACCAGGGAGTGGGACAAACACCCGGGTGAGACACTTCTACCTCCTCTTCCACTTTCTCACCTGCTTGGCCAGTTCCAGTAGCTCCACAATCTTTTGCTAAGGCAGAAATATCTAAGTATCACAGAAATTAAGAAAATTCTGCACGTAGGAAAAGCTATTTTTACTGACACAGACAGTGAGGTAACCTCACAATGGCCTTTCGATCTTTAGTGTTCTTTAGCTTTTGGCTCTAACTCCCTTCCCTCTTGTCTGTAGTTGAAATCTGAGAAGGAAGTCAAGACTCCATCATTTGATAAACTTTAGAAAGACAAGAAACTGAATGTAACTGTTTAGAAGTTCTTACTCTAGTAGCCAAAATATTTAGATAAAAATTCAGTAACAAACATCAGTACTTATACAATCACAAAGACCATATTTATAAGGTGAAGACAGTAACAAACAGTACCTAGAATACCCAGAAGAGAGCAGTGTAAGACATGCTATGAACATATTTAAGTCTGAACTAGAGAGCTTCCGTAACTCCAGCCAAGGCCCACTTTACCTTGTCCTGCTCCACACCAGGCTCTCTGTATACAGTCCATTTCTGCCCGTCGTCACTGTACAGAACTCTATAGGCAGACACATAGTAATTGTGTTCGACCATGGTAGATCCAGTGGTTACAATACCTGGGAACAAAGAGTTGCTTTCATCAGTGCACAGGCAGAGACTCCCAAAGTCAGCAATAAACACCTGCGATGCACCCTGCGAGTATTCCTGTCGGTGGCTTATTTCCAACTCTGTGGGCAGTTTTCATCCTAACAGCTACCAAGTCCCGGCTTTGCTCCTTTGGAGACAGGAAGAATTATGGGCACGCGTGAGGGAAGAACTACCGTGCCTTTGCCGCTTGTATTCATACCGTTCTGGGAAAGAACATCAAGCGCGATGACGGGTATCTTCAGCCTAAGTCTCTAGAGCGATCTCAATCACCCTGATGGCCACTGAACTCAGCACATGTGGAACCTAAGTTTCTTCTAGCACTTTCGATGCACTCTCCTTAGCTACCAATTCCTTAATGACTGTAAGAGCTCTCAAAACTCACCTAACTAAAACTCTACCTTAAAAGGATCATATTAAAAATAAAATAGAACTACTAAAAATTAAATGCAAATTCTGCTTTTGGCAAAATTTATGAAAGCATCCCCAGCAACATTAATACCCGTGGAGAAAACTGAAGCGCAAGCTTTATAATTTTCAGTGACCTAATTTCCAAAAATTTCAGCTGTCGTGGGGTTTCCAAATAAAAGCCGTGCTGGTGTGCTGCAGAGAGCACGTCTCTCACCTGTTATCTTCTTCTCCTTATTCAGGTCGATTTGCAGCCACTGATGCTCATCCGTGGCAAAAGCAGCCCACGGAGGCCCAGATTTTCTCAGCCTGGCCTTCTCCGGTTTCCAGCTGTGCTCCTGCCCCATGTGGTCAGTCCACTCCAGCACAGATGATGCGGTTATCTGGGGGTCGGCAATCACCCCAGATTCCATCCCCAGAGTCCCATAACAGCCTGAAGTAGAGAGGAAAACCCATTTGGTTTCTAGAAGTAAATTTGAGATCTCTATTGCAGTGCTTCTAGAGACTTGTGACCGCACAACCAGGCAGCTGCTTCCTGGGCCTTGGCCTCTGTGTCCCACCAGAAACCTACAAACCTACGCTTGCCCCTTGCTGTCTACAGGGGACCAGTTCTGAACAGCCCATGCTCCCTGGCAGTCACTAAAACCTGCAAATGCTCAAGTCTTTTATATAGAATGTGATAGTACGAGCACATAGTGTGCTATCTGTCAACTTTAAGTCACCTCTGGGCTACATACAATGCGAAAGAAAATATAAATTGAATGAATATAATTGTAACACTATATCGCTTAGGGAAAAACAACGTGGGGAAAATTTCTGTGCATGTACCTAGCACAGAAACAAGATTTTCTCTATATCTTTCCAATCTGTAGGTGTGAAAGCCATGGATTTGAGGGTCGACTAGATATATTTTCAAGCATTAGCTGTTAAGTCTGCAGAGCTACACTATCCTGTCTCTGCGGTGCCCAGCAGGTGAAAAGGCAACTTCTTCCTGGACCTCTCATAGGTTTTATTCAGTGGCATATCTTGTTGTAAAGCCTTCCCCATCTGACTTCAAACTTTCAGACAAATGGAATGAATTAATTCTTTCTTCAGACAAAATCTTTGTTTGTTTTTCGATACAGGGTTTCTCTGTGTAGCTCTAGAGCGAACTCACAGAGATCCACCTGCCTCTGCCTCCCAAGTGCTGGGATTAAAGGCATGAGCCACCACCGCCCGGCTAGCCTACCCTTCATATAATTAGGTCCTTATTTTCCTCATGCTCTCCTTGAAAGCGAAGGAGAAAGAATAAACAGTTCAGCAGTTACTGGGTGCCTGATGGTGCTCAAAATAACATGAGCTATGACACAAAGGTGATGGCCCGAGTGCATGGAAGGCTTACCACTTGTCTTAAATGTAAACAGACTCGGAGACAAATAGCCCCTGAAAGAGAGAAAGGGTCTCATGTGATACTCAGTTAGCATGTAGCTTCCCTGTATTAATCACAGTGAAATGTTAATTTCTCCTATTGATTAAAGGGCTAAGAAGAATCCATGACTACAAATCAAACAACATGCATTTTAAAAAGCTTCTTTTTCCCTGAGGAAGACAACCTGTGAAATTACCACAAACAACTTTTTCTGTAAGTCCGGCTAGCATCTAGGTTCACAGGCGACTGTACAAATATGCCGTGTAACCTTTAATTCTTATTTTATTCCTTTCTCATGAAATAAATACATAAAACTTTTATTCTCTTTAATTCTGTGAAAGAACATGAAAAGGGGGAATTTCAGAGAATGAGGTGAGACTCAAGCATCCTCATAAGCACACAAGAGTTGGCTACTAGTAAAGAGACTGCATTTTCCTTAGAGAAAATCAGCACGTCTGAGGTGAACTGTCGCATCCATCACATCTGGACTTCAAAGGAATGGGTAGGATGGGTGAGCTGATAAGGACAGAAGGGTCAGACAAGAGAAAAACTTGCCTCTTACAGAATAAAAGAACACGTACGACTCCACGAGACCTGGAGGATGTTCAGTTACGCTCCTCTCTTAACACAATGCTCAAATGGTCACAAGAGGATGCAAATTATTATTATTATTATTATTATTATTATTATTATTTTGAGATAGGATGTCTCTCATTAGCCTATGCTGGCCTTGAATTCACTAAATAGCTCAACTTGACTGTAAACTCTGGATTTTCTTGCTTCCCCTGTCTAAGCCTGGGAACTGAAGCATGCGACACCATGCCCATCTTGTGTTCCATCAGAAACCTACAAACATGCAGCTGTCCCTTGTGTCTGAGGAGACCAGTTCCAGGACATCCTATACTCCCTGGCAGATAGCAAAATCTGCAAATGTTTAAATATCTTATACAAAATGGCACAATAATAGTACATAACCTACTATCTGTCAACTTGACGTCATCCCTGGGTTACTTACAATGCCAAAGAAAATATATTTTTTTTAACATATGAAAGGGAAACTACACATGCCTCCAAACTCTAAGGGTAGAACACAGGAAAGAATGAAAGGATGTGCATAAAATAATGTAACAGAAAAAGGGAGAGAGCAAGCCACTTTTGCCTGGAAACAGGCTAAGAATGTTTTCTATGCAATTAAAAGGCTGTGGATAAAATAAACAAAAAAGCATTAGTGGAGGAGACATGTTTTGTTTGTTTTTGGAGACAGGGTTTCATTTTGTAGTCCAAGTTGGCGTCAAACTCACAGCCTCTAGCAATGCGGGCACATGCCTGCATGCCTGGCTACTAGGTGGCCTTTCACAGACAAGTTTGCTGGTACTATGTCATGTCCTGTGTAAGGACCATGCTCTTTCCTTCTGAAAGGAACCTGTCTGCAGAACTAAGCACAGGGAAGACGCCAGATTTTAGAAGCAGACTGCAAATACTGCATTTTTATTTACTGTTTCAATTGGTCCTGATTTGGATGTCTTGTCTTTGCTTTACAAAATACCTGAATACTGTAGAGACCAAGAGAATCCATATTTATTACTCTTCTGTAAGGAGGACTTTTACAATACTCCTGCTTTATGTCGAAATCTATTTCTAGTAACTATTTTAGTTAGCCATGGTCCAGTCTGGACTGGACAAACTACAAGGACTATGGTTTCATATTCTGAATCTATTTATTTATTTATTTATTTATTTATTTATTTATTTATTTTGAGACAGGGTTTCTCTGTGGCTTTTGAGCCTGTTCTGGAACCAGCTCTTGTAGACCAGGCTGGCCTTGCACTCACAGAGATCCGCCTGCCTCTCCCGAGTGCCAGGATTAAAGGTGTGCACCATCACTGGGCATCTTCTGAATTTTATCTTCAAAGAACTTATGACCTTGTCCACAAACTCCTAGACTCCTGTTCCAGATGGTTTCAAAGCCGAGAAAAGCAGCAGCACTCACAAACCCTGGTGCAGCAGAAAAAGGCAAGCAGTGCAGAGCAAGCGAGCCACTGGGAAGAACACCTCCACCCTGCTGGACTGCACTATAGCCTGTGTGTGCAGGGAGCTCCAGGTTTCCGGTTTCTGTGAGCTATCACCCACGCTGAGGTGAGCTTTGCTAATGTCGCTCTTTTGACTACTTCTTGTTCCTGTAAGGAACCTGTCATCCTATTCCTGTAAGAACCCCTCCCAAAACTCACTGGTTCACCACACTGGACTATGGTGCTGTCACTGGTTGTCTCTCTGATGGATATCTGTTATGTCACCCTGGAATAGTGTCATACAACTCCACCCCCCAGCATACTTACTACAAAGAATATATGCACTTACACCACGGAAGTGACATTGTTGGCCAAGGAGCTTTCATAGTACGGGGTGCCTTTGCTAATCACAACACTGATCTGGCCACCCAGGACATTTGACACTACTCCTGCATGGATTCCAGCCATGCACAGTGGCGAAGACTTGAAAAACAAACAAAAAAAAAAAAAACAAAAAACAAAATTAAATGAACTTTTCTTCTTATCATTCATAAAGAAGATACCTGTACTTTTTCAAGAATTTAGCTGATATGGCAGATTTTCAGAAACAAGTTATTGAAACAAATACACTTTTAGTAGAAGAGTTAGGTTTTACTACAAAGGCATCATTTCTAACACACGAAAAGACAGAGACATATAATATATATTATCTTGGGAGCATCTCTGAGTTTAAAATAACAGTGTACACAGCAGTGAAGGAAATCTGTATTCAACTTACATCTCTGTATCCATGAGGAATTGTTCCAGATATTTCAGCAAAAGGGAGCAGGCAGCCAGCTGGGCAGAATTTACTGAGAAGGCAAACAAGTGAAAGATGACGGAATGCTTACTTCCTGTGGGAAACACCCCAAGGAGAAATCCTATACACTCCATACATGCTGAGTCCATGCAGTGTGGAGCAACATGAAGCCAACCCTATGAAAAAGCCCACTCACACTTTCTTCGACCCACACACAGTGAAGGTACTGACAAAAATGTTCTCGCAGCCTACAACTCCTCAACTATTTTACTTCGTCACGAGCAGTAGATCTCTTTCTACTCTAAGACCTATCCACCATGCCCCTCAGGTTTATATGAATGTCCACTATGTTGCCCGATGAGGTCTGTGACTTATGAATGCTAACCAAATAAGATATGGTACTTCCATCTGAATCCATACTCAAATGATGGAAGAAGACATTCATTGAGCACTTACACAGATGTTTGGGATGGGGAGAGGATTTTTAAATGACTGAGAGAATGATTATCTAATAAAATACATACATCCAGAAATTTTGCTATGCCTGAGGGAGCACCCCAAAGGTGTAATCCACACAACCATCTCATGTAGGAGGTACTTTTATTGCTATTGTTTCCATTTTATAGACAAGGAAAGTAAAAAATTGTGTGCCTAAGTCACAAAACTAGGTTCCTCTTACACAGGGCTTAGTATTGCTTATTTGAGCTGGCAGATGTCACTGAAGTAAGTCACTGATCGAAATCCACACCGGAAGCTAGGAAGAGCATGGCTCTGAGACAGGATGCTCTGCTGTGAGTACAAGGAGAGGGCAGGATCCAGATCCTGTAGAAACCTTGTGGGCTGTGAAGTAGGGGATGCATCTTCAAATCAAAATAGGAAGCCAGGAAAGGACTGTGACAACTTACACATGCAACTCAGTGAGTAACGTTTTCGAAAGGTTATTCTTGCTTCTAGGAAGGCACAAGATTATAGGGACTCATGAGTGATAGCTAGGGGACACAAGGAAGACAGCACGTAGTTCAGGAGGTGTGATGAGAGCTCATATGTGGGGGTGACAACAGAGCTGGAAACTAGAGGGAACCCAGCTGACCCTTCTACCATGTCATCCAGGACATACTGAACAACACTGAAGCAGCATGTTTTCCACAGAAATATCAGTCTTTTATGTGCATATGTGTTTACGTGTTTGTGTGCATGAGTATGAATGCATGCTCATTTGTGTGTAGAGGATGGAGTGAACATCAGGTACATTCCCCAATATTTCTTCGCCTTAGGTTTTGGAGATAGATACTCTCCCTAGACCTAGGATTCTAACTCACCAGCTAGGCTAGGCTGGCTGATTGATGCTGAGTCTCAGAGGTTCTCCTGCCTCTACCTCCCCAGCACTGGCATTACAGAAGTGTGCAGCCATGCCTGGGTTTTATGTAGGTTCTGGGACACTGAATTCAAGTCCTTATACTTGAGTTTTAATGGCTCTACTCACTGAGCCTCTCCCGAGCCACGGAGCCATTCCTAAAAATAAAATGAAGGTTCTTTAGGGGAGTGCCAGTACAGTGGAAATTAGGGTTCTGCTTTGCAGTGAGGAACATATGCTGTGTACACAGACAAGACTGACGTGTGACTAACAGAAGAAAGTCAACCAAGGTTAGAAACGGGAAATCAAGAAGTCAGTTCTTGTCCAAGCACAAGAAAAAGGCATAAAGCAGAGATATTATAGGAAATTGATGAGAAAAAACATTAAGAACCCTATTATAGTCTCTGTCAGTTTGCCTGCCTATCTATCTATCTATCTATCTATCAATCATATATCTACCTATATCATCTATCTATAGATCATCTATCTATCTATCTACCTACCTATCTATCAATCATATATCTACCTATACCATCTATCTATAGATCATCTATCTATCTATCTATCTATCTATCTATCATTTATCTATCATATATCTACCTATATCATCTATCTATTGATCATCTATCTATCTATCTATCTATCTATCTATCTATCATTAATCTATCATATATCTACCTATATCATCTATCTATTGATCATCTATCGATTCCTACTATCATCTATGTCTGTCTGTATCCATCTATCATCTATATATGAATGTATCTATTATGTATGCATATATCTATCTATCTGTCTAGCCTTAGCCTATCTGAAGAACAGTTGATGGAGGCTGAGAGAGGGAGAGTTACTCATCTTTGGGGATCTGGCCACTAGTCTGCTGCTTATGTCCCAGAGGATGGCCACTCACCCATGAGCATACAGGCAAGCTCAATGACAATTAAAAGAAGATATGAAGCTGGGAGGGAGATGGGATGGAGGACACTCAGCAAGTTCAAGGACAGTAGTGGTGGATGGGTATTACCAATATATATTGTATAAATGTATGATACCTTCAAAGGATAAAATAGCAAAATGATATGGAGAATGAACAGCTTTTCCATTTTTAGGAGCAGCACTGTCAGATTTAAGAGACTGCTCGATCTTCAGAACATCCTACTAGTTACCTTGAACCATGGCACCTGGATGCAGCGGAGGTGGATCCTGAGTTCTAGGCCACTTGGAACCACACAGTGAGACCCTGCCTCATACACTTCTACATAAAAAGAAAAAAATAAAAGGTATATTCCTGTTTTGGAGATCTAACCATTACAGTTAAAGTAAAATTTAAACAGGGCAACCGGACGACTTTAAATAAGCATGGTTTGCTGCAGTCTTCATCAATGCCTAGCTATGCATCACACTTTATACAGAGCCTGCTCTCTAAAGGAATGGGAGTGAAGAGGTGTGCTGGAGCACGCACACACACGCACACACACGCACACACATATACACACACAAGCATACGTGCAAGCTCATACCTGAACTCAGGTTCCGAAATTTTAGTTATGTTATCCAAACAAGTGATTAAATCTAGAAAAAAAATTAAAAAACTATTTAATAAGACTTATTAATTTCATCAAAATGCTATAATGCTGTAAAATAGTATAAAACTGTATTCCTCTAAATTTCAAAATATGACTACCTATAACTTCACAAATTTTGTTAAACCGTTTCTCTTATTTGATGTATCCACTTCTGGAGCTGTTTTCCTTAATACTGCTGTTTAATATATCACGTCCTGAAGTCACAGATCATGTGTAGTACATAGAGAAGTAGAATTTATATATTCCTTAGTGGTTCTATAAAATATGGCCCTCACAACACAGAGAAAAATATTTATTAATTATTATGACTAAAAATGACCTTATTCTGCTTATAAACAGAAAAAAAAACTAATGACAAAAAGAAGTAAGTTAATTCTAGAGCTCTAGTTTTTATTCAAAGTCTCATCAGTCCACAGATGGGACCAGCAGTATCCACATCATCTGGACACTCCACAGATAATGAGCCTTTTGTTGTAATCAATGCTCCATGCAATCACTAAGCACATTGAATAAGACCCAGTGCGCTGAAGAAAACTTAAATTTATTTTCACAATTAACTGGAACAAAAGCTAACATACCTTTAATTAAAAACTCAGTCACAGGCACAGTTACTTAAAAAGAACATCGAGCATCTTCCCTTCCTTGTCTTAGGATAGAATAGAAAGTCTGGATTGAGGCATGTTACAGGGTTGGCCTTGCTTCACTTTCAACATTAAGGTTTCTCACCACCCTGGCTCTCTTCTGCATCTCTTGGCACACTGTCCTGCGTCCGTGAACACAAAATTTATCTGCATTCCTGTATTCATACTCCCTGCATCCCTGGGCACACACTCTTCTGCATCCATGGGCACAAACACTCATCTATACGCCTGGACAAATTCTCCTGCATTTTTGGGCACATACTCTCTTACATGCCTGGGCACACATTCTCTTGCATCCCTGGGCACAGACTTTCCTGCATCCCTGGGCACACACTCTGCTGCAACCATGGAAATACACTCTTCTGAATCCTTGGGCACACACTCTGCTGCATCCCTGGGCACACCTTCTCCCGAATCCCGGGCTCATACTCCTTTGCATCCTTGGGCATACACTATCTGCACAGCTTTTCTATTGCTCCGAAAACCTAGCTGACTACTTGCTAACATCTCAACTTGACTGTCAAGTCCTCAAAACACCATCCTAGTCTTTCACATATGAAATCCCTTTATCCACACACGGGACTTCCATTTTGCTTGTTTTAATCAACACATAATTATAGATCCCAACATAACTTATATTATGAAAAGGCTAATTTGCTAATAGAATCATAGTAACAAGCAACACCTCGTCCTTGAACAAAGAGTAGAGCTGTGTAGAGCTCACTCTTCTGGAATTATAGAAATTAGGAATTACAGTGTAGGCTGCACAGGAGACTTTCAATGAACATTTATCACTGATTCCCTGGAAAAACAAAAGTTTCTGTTTGTTGCCATGTTTGGCTACATCCAGTAACTTACCAGACCCAAGGGTAAAAACCTGGAAGGAGACAAGAAGGCAATAACAGATAGTATTATGAGCATTTCCTGTTGGTTGGTTCCCCCAATTTGACACAAATGTAGACATATCTGGCAAGAGGGGTCTTAACTGAGAAAATGCCTCCATAGGGTTGGCATGGAGGCAACTCTGTGGGGGTACAGTCTAGATTAACAACTGATAAGAGGGTTCCTGCCCATCATGAGTGGCACTGTCCCTGTGCAGGTAGTCCCTGGGTCTGGAAGCAAGTGGGATGAGCAAGCAACAATTAGCAAGCCAGTAAGCAGTGTTCCTCCATGACCCCCTCTTCAGCTCCTGCCTTGAGTTCCTGATCTGACCTCCCTGGATGATAGACAACAAGCCATAAGATTAAATAAACCCTTTCCTTCCCAAGTTGATTGTGGTCATGACATTTTATCCCAGCCCTAATACCCTGAGAAGCCTTTTTAAAATATTTATCTATTTATTTTACATCCCAACTGCAGTCCACCCCCCCCCCCCCGTATTAAGGCTGGTCGAGGCAATCCCTTATGAGGACCTCAAGAGCCAGCCAAAGCCTTATGGATGACTTCCTACAACACTGTTACTACATACTTATAAGACCCAGGGTGTGTGTTAGCAGATAGGACAGCAGTATTTTGAGAAGAATTTGTAGAGATCAATATGTATGTATCACTGCAATTTCAATTATTTAATCTGTTTTCAGAGTTCTCCATGAGGAAGGGCAAGTCAACAGAATTTGCCTATCAACCTTTGCACAGCATCAGTGAGAATCAATTAAGAAACTCAGCTTCTAAAATTAACAGGCTTCCATGAACAGTACCTGTGTGTTCCAATGCAGCATTCTAGCTGCAAAGTGACTACTAGCTGCCTCTCCTACGTTCAGACCAGATGTACAGTAAGCCCAGTCAGGGCTTAAGCTGCACAACAGGCCATACTAATATGCAAATAATGACCTGGATCTCAAATTCCAAAGAGCTCCTGAGGAGGAAATAAAAAGCCCAAAGTGGACAACTCTGAGAGCCAAGAAGACTGAAGGCAGGAAAGGAAAACCATGAGTATAAACTGACATTTACAACTCCATGAAGGCAAATAAAAACCACCAACTTAAGGATTTAAGAAGTTATGTGCCTTTCCTAAAAGCTTTTCCCAAGTAAATCGCCTTCTAGAAAACTGTTATTATAAAGCTTTCAACAAATACGGACAAATTCTGGACAAGGTGAATGTGGTTAGAATGAGGCTTCGGACAGCAGTGTGCAGGGAGTTACTGTGAGGAAGGGACTAAGATTAAGGTCACAAGAGTCCAGAGTTAACCCTTCACATTCACAGTCAAGTGAATTTCAGCTGTGGTGTCTGGAAAACATAACGGAGCAGTATGCTGGTGGGATCGTCTTGTGAGTAACATGACATCGATGTTCATGATCCAGTCACAAAAGAACTAGTTACCTCTCTCACATATACAAATACTAACTCAAAGTCACCAAAATTTAAGAACAAAACTGCAGACTTTTCAAAAATATAGGACTAAATCCTGACATTGGATTAAGGATTTCTTAACTATGATGAAAAGCACAGCAATCAAACTCAGACAAATGGAAACGATAATTAGAAAAGCCTATGCTTCAAAGGTTAGTGTCAAGGAGAAAGATGGCTCTGGGGGTTGAATGAGAATGTCCCCCACAGTCTTTGGCATTTGAACACTTGGTCCCCAGGTGATGACACTGTCTGGTGACGATTTAAGTGGTGCAGCTTCAGTGGAGGAAATATTTCACTGTGGATGGATTTGAGATTAAAAAATCTCAGCTACTTCCGGTTTCATCTCTCTGTTTCATACTTGAAGTTCAAGATGTGAGCTCTCAGCTTTCTGCTCCTGCTACCAAGCTGTCTCCATCATATGGGCTCTAACGAAACTATATGCTCAAATAAATTCTTTCTCTATAAGTTGTATTAGTCATGGTGTAACTTACCGAGTTTTTTTTTATCACAGTAACATAAAAGTAATTAATATAATGGCATACAAAATTATTCTGACAAGTCATATATCTGCTAAGTATCTAGACTCAATATCAAAAAGTATTAAGATGCAATATTAAAAAGGCAAATGTATATCTAGCTAATAGAATATACTTTGGCTATAAATCCAAAGTAGTACCTGATCACAACATAGAAGAACTTCGCAATATGTAACCAAAGCCACCAATCACAAACATCCCAAACTATATTATCCTTGAAGTGTCCAGAATGAGTACACCTAGAAATAAGAAGTGGATGGGTGGTGACAAAGGGTGGAGGGAGTTAAAGCAGTAAGTGGAGACTGACTGAAACTAACTGTGGGCTGTTCCTCAGGGTGATGAAAATGCTCTCAAATGGTGGCAAGGACTACAGTGTTCTGAAAATTCTGAAACACCGAATCACTACTCTGTGCAGGAGTACTGTACTGTATAGGAATTAAATCTTGATAAATTTATTATAAAAATCAAAAATCAAAAGAAGAAATAACCGTTGACTTTAATATATACCACACAGGCATGTCTGGATAAAATAAAGCACAGTAAAGAACCACGGTGGGCATTCAGTCCATTGCTCCTCAGCAAACATCAGGTATAAAAACATGACCACGTAGTAGTCTAGGCATTAGTGAGAAGACAGACAGATGAAAATGTCTACATATAGAAAGTACACCAACCTCCAAGTGGGAGAGGGTAAGAGAAAACATTCGTAAAAAATGTATGTATAGTAAGGCAGATGGTGACAACACTTCTGTTAAATAAAGGTACAAGTGAGGAAAAGTTTAAGACTTGAACTTTCAAGAGTTATGTCCAGCATGGACCTCACTGCAAAGGTGACATGTGATCAAAACTCTAAGTGGGTGAAGCGATGAGGCTCGGGATATGTGGCTCTGAAACGAGGTATGAAGTAAAAAAGGCCCCTTGTGGGTGCTTGGTCAGCACTTATGAAGCCACGGTGAAAAGAAGTCAGGCACATCACAGGCAGCTGAATCCTACAGGGCCCTGGAGGTAAGGATGCTCGGCAGATGAAGATGGGAATTTCATTTTAATAAAATCACACTGACCTGGGCCTGGAGAGATGGCTCAGTGGTTAAGAGCACTGGTTGCTCTTCCAGTAACCCGGGTTCAGTTCCCAGCGCCCACATGGCAGCTCACAACTGTCCGTAACTCCAGTTCTAAGGATTCAACACTCTCATACAGATATGTAAACAGGCAAACACCAATGCACAGAAAATAAATAAAGAAATCTTTTTAAAAAATACCAATGACGACTATACAGAGAGAAGCATAGGGACAAAGGTCAAAAGGGAATCTGCCATCATAATTGAGGTAAACACTGGGGGTGACTTGAAATACAGGGGTTAAGAGTGGAGCTGCTGGTATGTAGCCAGATTTTCATAGAGAGCTCCAGAATTGGCCAATAACTAGAGATTTGAGGAATAATGGCAAGATTTTTGGAATGAACAACTTAAAAGACTAACGCATATGTAAAGTATTTAAGATTACAATAATAAATACTGATGTGGAATCTATTTGATTATTATGTAATGCCAGAACATCAGTGTTCTAGTAGAAGTGCAGGCAGCCTGCAATTAACTACACTCTTAGGTAAGAGCTTCTACATAGGACTTTTGTATAATTTTAGTCAAACACATAAAATATACTAAGGCATATACACACGTTCTGACATAGCGTATTATAATTTTCTTCAGTGCTCTAGGCAAGAGCATCTCTCAGGGCCCCGAGAGAGCAGCCTTTACTCCTGCTCGTCTGCACAGCTCAAGGAGAGAAAGCATCTATGGCGGCAGTTCTTCACTAGACAGAAGGATAAATGTAAGCCAGGTAGAGGGTAATCTCAAATCCTGTAAAGGCTTCTGTCCTTCCTCTAACTCAGAAAGGCCAGTCTCAGGTGAACATTTGTACTAAGTATCCTGTTTTCTTAAGACAACTCAAAATTTAACAATATTTTTTTTAAATTTATTTATTTATTAAAGATTTCTGTCTCTTTCCCACCACTGCCTCCCATTTCTTTCCCCTCCCTTAACAATATTTTATATACGGCCATCTTGATACAGCTTGCAAAATAAACTACAGAGAACTTTGTAGCTTTTCTACAAAACTTTATTTGCACATATTTCAAAATCTTAGGTTGTCCCATATATAATACTGTAAAAATATGGTAACTATTCATATGTCAGCAAATCATTTAATATAGCAGCATATTAGTTTCTCCCATAGGAATATTTTGATTGACAGCAATGGCTATTTCTGATAGTGTAATTATGAACTACTTTTATTTAGATTTTCCCTATGTCATACTGCTGTGTGTTCTTGAGTGAACTGAAAAACATCCCAGTAGTATCAGTAACCATGATATAAACAGTCTACATTCTATTAGTTGTGGCATGTAATATCTTATACAACTGTAATCATTTCTTTCTATAGGAAAGGAACCTAAATATAACAAAAGATCAAGTAATGCTCCTAGGTGACCATTAATTATTTACCAGAAATGAGAAAACAGGAGAAAGAAGAGAAGTCAAGAAAAAGACAACAGATATATACTTACAAACTCAACTCTTTCAAATCCTCTAGAACGCCTTAAAAGGGCCAACTTCTCCAGCCTGAGGGAGAGCCCTAGCATAGGCACAGCAACACTGTTTCAGTAACCTTACTTCTTTCCCTTAGGTAGACATCTTTGCCCAGATACAAAAGGGTGAGGGATATGGCTGATCTCTTTGATATTTAAAGGTGGAGATTAAATATGAGGCTTCTCTTAGACAAATTACAATGATACCAGTCGAAGCAGACTCCATAGGAGGAGACTGGACACATTTCTGTGCCGAGAAATAAGGTTTCTTATCAATAACGTACAAGACAGCTAAGTCGCCTAAGAAATTAACCATAGTTAAATAAGCTGCAAACCACATAAGGTAACTGCATCAAATGAAATGTTCTCCACACCTAACTTCCTATGCATGTGAGACATGTCAAAAGTTAGCAGGCTTCTTTTGTGACCTACACAGTATCTAGGAAACTAAACAATGCAATAGTATTTAGCAACAGTGTATCTAGAAGTGACTGTTAGCTTAACTCAGCACAATCCTATTGGTTCTTTTTCACAGACTTTCTAAGGTATCAAAATCCCCAACTACACAAGAAAATACTAGAAGCAGGATGGTACACTTCAGATTGCTTATGTGTCTGCTTGGCACAAACGTCACTCCATATAGGCTGAACCGCCTCTTCTGCAACCATTTTAACAGATAAATTCTGTTTTAAATTCTGTCTCTGAAAAACTGGTGAAACTACTCAAATATATGCTTGTTGTCTAAATCAGCAACAAAATATAGTTGTTTTTCAGTACGCTATTTATATAACACACATGACTGTGTGATCATTGTTCATTGGCTTGTAAATACGGGCTCATCTGGAGATAGAAATCAAAGGGAAACTTCACCAAGAGTCAATCAATAGATTCAAAGTTTAGTTTATTTATTTCCTTTGTTTTGGTTTGGTGTTTCACGACAGGGTTTCTCTGTAGCTTTGAAGCCTGTTCTGGAACTAGCTCTTGTAGACCTAGATGGCCTTGAACACTTAGAGATCTGCCTGCCTCTGCCTCCCAAGTGTTGAGATTAAAGCTATGTGCCACCACCGCTTGGCAGATTCAAAGCTTTAAAATGTGTGTCAGATACAAAAACAATAAAAACTAAAAACATAGCAAGGAAATTACAAATAGAAATGGGGCTAAGAGTCAAATCTGACACAAAACAGATTCTGTGTCGTCATTGCTGTCGAGGCAGCAAATGATCTGAAAAACCTCACACCCTACATTCAAAATTAAAAACATTTCACATAGAAGAAAAATTAATCAGCAACAGAAACTCAAACTCCATCAGAAAAAAAAAACAACAACAACCTATCTATTCTGTCCTGTGTGTCACAAGTTTACATAATATGATGGAAAATGAAAGAAATGGAAACATTCACAAAAATAGTAGTTAAAGACAGTAACAACCAGAAAAATTTTATGACATTGGTATTGATTCTAAAAATACTTCAACATACTGCAGCAGTGACCCTCAAATGGATGTTTTCAGGCCCAGCTGTTCAGAAGTCTTAGGTACACTGTCAGCAAATTCTAAGGTGGAGGCAGCAAACGGACATGTGTTTGTGAGTTCACACTGAGAAGAAAATGCATATCCACATGGGATCATTCTGTGTCACAAGAAATTTGCTGTTTACTAATTTCCTCCAGAAAAATAAAGGCAAATTTAGACTGTCCATTCCAAAATTCTTGGCTGGTAAGACCTTTAGTATTTCCTTTAAATAATGTGGTATTTTTTTCAAGTTTTGATTTAGTATTTTCTGAAATGTGCCTAAATATTTTCTAAAACTATAAAATTACCATTTTCCAATCTTGGTTGTATCTAACCACCCCCACACCAGTCATGAAACACACAAATGAATGCTGCCTTGAAGGACTTGAAGATTTCAATGCATAAGTAAGTTTACTGGTACATAGCAAAAATGTCTAAAATCCACGGCTGAGAATCCTTCTGGAAACTGGCCAGGGTTAAAGAGATTCAAAAACAGAAATTTAGGTCACACATCTGCAAAATTCATTTTATTTTTGAAGTCCAATTAAATGCTGTTTATAATTAAATTTATGTGTACGAGTGTTTTTCCTGCATGTATCTATGTAAATCCCATGCATGCCCGTTGCCCTGGGGTCTCAGAAGAGTGTTGAATCACCTGGAACTGGAATTAGAAACATTTATGAGCCACTGTGGAGGCTGGGAATCAACCTGGAGTTCTCTGAAATAAGAAGTGTACTTAACTGCTGAGCCATCTCTTCAACTCTAAATGGTGTTTTTAAATTGAAATTTATTCATGAAAATAGTAGCATTTATTATCAAGCTTGACTGAAAGATCTGAGTTACTTAGTCCCAAACTCTGAGAGGCTGGTTAGACCTCAGGAGTTTTCATCAGTGCTTGATCATATGCTTTCTCATGACTCAAGGGCTCGCACGCTTTCAGAAAGTCCAGCTGGAACTGGATGTGATTATGCCAATTTACAGTAGCAATGCCCTGATGGCCAGCTGGTTTAAATGATGCACCCTCCCCCACAGTCGCAGGCATTTGAATACTTGGTCCCCAGATGGAGATGCTGTTTTAACAACTCTGAACTTGGAGGAGGAATGTCACTGAAGGAAGGCTCTGGGAGTTTAAAGACTTGTGCCATTTTGACTGTGCTCTCTCTGCTTCATGCCTGCAGCAACTTGGAAGTGTTAGCTAAAACAAATGCCTTTCTCCTTCAAAGGTGGTGAATGCAGACTCTCAGCTTCCAGTTCTAGCTGCTCTACTGATGTGGGAGTGTCATATATCAATCTGTTGATTTCATTGGTTAAGCAATAAATATTGGCCCTGATAGGTTAAAACATAGGTGGGAGGAGTAAACAGAACAGAATGCTGGGAGGAAGAGGAAGTGAGCTCAGACTCGACAGCTCTGCTCTCTGGAGCAGAGACGCCATGCTCAGCTCTCCCGATAGCTCTGCTCTCAGAGACACACGTGATGAAGCTCCGACCCAGGATGGATGTAGGCTAGAATCTTCCCGGTAAGCGCACCTTGGGGTGCTTACAAACATTATTAGAAATGGGCTAGTCCAGGTGCGAGAGTTAGCTGAGAAGAGGATAGATATAATGGGCAAGCAGTGTTTAAATGAATACAGTTTGTGTGTTGTTATTTCGGGCATAAGCTAGCAGGCGGCTGGGGTGCTGGGGACGCAGCCCCGCCGCTCCTATTGCAACACCCTACCTCTGCTCTGTCACCATGCACTTTGTCCTTGTCCTTCTGGAAACCTAAACCCAAATAAACCCTTTCTTCTGCAGGTTGTTTTGGCCATGGTATTTTATCACAGAGAAGTAACTCACACGTCTCTCTCAGGCTGTGCAGTGCCCCCATCCTAAGCATTTCTGTTTGCCTGCCACCAAAGGCAGAAAATGGGAACCTGTTTTTTTCACAGTAGATATGATTCTTCTTTTGATGTCAAAGAAAAAAAAAATATATATATATATACCATCCTTTATATATAGGATGTTAACTACTACTCACCAATAATGTAAAAGTAACAAGGAAGGGGAAAACACCCCGAGATGTTTTAAAAACAAGAAACAAACGTAGAAGAGGATGCTAGGAAAAGGTCCCAGCATGACCTGGGCATGGATAACTCTGGATGCCATTCAAGAAAACTTCACCATGAGTAAAGCCTCTTGTTATACTTTAAATCACAAGGAAAATGAATCCTAATTCTTTGAAGTGTGTCTCAAAGTGAGTCTAAGTGCCACATCTTTACAAACAGACATTACTTTAGTATTTGTATCACACGGCCTCTGAATTTAACCATCTGGTCTCTTCTAACAGCCTCTTCACTGGCCTTCCTACAACTATCTTATTTCTCTTCTATCTACTTCTCAGAGAGCAACAAAGAAAAACTAACATAAACACAACACAAACCTAGTCAGGTCATTCTACCAATCTAGAGCAGAAAATGGCAAGAAACAGAACTTTGCATGGACTCTGATATAAAATATATCTTATATAAAACCATGACTCTATACATAATATATATAGTATGTATGTATGTATATATGTGTGTGTAGTTTAACATACAACATAACATTAGCAAATCTTTGTGGGAGAGTATAAGAAAAGAAGACATAGCTGCTGAAGCAATGCTGCTCACGCATTTTAATCCCTTTTACTCTAAATTTCAACTAGACTCCTAAGTGAGGGACATGTAGCAATGATCCTTCCAGATATTTCAGGAATTCATAGTGGCAGTTAAATTTCCTGGATGGAAACAGAAATCTCAACCAAAGTCAAACAGCCTCTGAACAAATGAGTTACTAGAAAAAAATGTGACTGAGAGTGCCACCCAAGAAGCAGTAAGAAACTCGACCAGTGTTTCCTAGAATGTGTCTTAGCCAACTAACTTCAGTCAAATTAAACAAATGCCTGACAAATTGGACAGGGCATGCCAAAAAACCATGACATTGGAAGTCAGCTGGGAAATGGCATTTCTCAAGACTGACACTTTGGGATGGGTTAGTATCAAGAAGTTGCTAAAGTCTGTCTCTCATTTGTGCTGACTCTGTGTGAGATCGCTGACAACATCTGAGCCTTTTATCTGACACCAGGGTCAATTCTTTAATGAACTTTGCTGTAAGAACATCAAGTTTCCAAGGGAGAAACAACAACTCATGATTTGAACACTTAACGTAAAGCGCCTTTTATAATAAACAGCAGACATTTTATTTTCCAGAAACCCCGAGCTTGATCAGTAGAAGGAGACAACTGGGGAAATAGGAATCAAAATGAGAATTTAAACCCATGAAACTTCAGGTAAGTAAGTACAACCAACGGCCATTTTTTAACCTTCTCACCTGTCAACCTGAGACGCCCACAGCATGTGTTGAAAGCAAGAGAGTTCTTACGTCTGTGTTCTTTACTCCACCGACTAGACAGTGGGGAAATGGAAATATGTATTCATAATGCAGGGTGGGGTGACACTGTGTCTCTGTGCCTTGTCTATAGACAGAACCCAAGGCAGTGAACGGACACGACACGACAGAGATTACCTGGCAGGCACACACAGAAGCGGGCTTGCTTGCTGATTTATTTATTTGCTTGTTTATCTATTTATTTTTAATTATGGCTTTTGAAAGAGGGCCATCTGGCCTCAAAATTTGTGATCCTCCTGTCCTGCTTCAGTTTCCAGAGTGCTAGATTACATTGTGAGTCCCCACACCCAACCAGAAACCAGTATCAGTTGAGATATACTTAGTGCCCTTTCCGTGACATAACTCATCTTAATTTTCCTACTCTGTCAAAACATCCATTCATCTAACTTTACACTTCTAATTCTTTTTCCCACATTATTTCATTCAAATGAACTAAACCTTTCTCATTGTCTCTGAGTTTGTTAGCTTCCCATCTTGCCCATGGTTTACAATCTATGAGAAAGTAGATTCCCTTCCAAGTAGACACAGCTCTTTCCTTCATGTAAAGGTTCTAAATGACACTTTTAGGGAAACAGTATTCATCTTAAAGTCACCATAGCTTAAGAGAGATAGCTTGCAGTGCCCTCAGTGGTTCCAGAGCTCAACAGTCTCATACCTAGGAGGGTCTTAATAGTTTTTCATCCAAATGGCTGAAGCAAAAGCTACTATTTACATTTAAATGGCCAACTTAGAATATTTACTGTTGAACATAAGAACAATCGTCTATTTTCTAATGCAAAGGCCTGTTTTCGTAATCCTTCCAATAACACCACTTCTGAGAAGTCCTCTTCACAGTGCCTCGAATAACAGAGATGAGATACAAGCCACAGTAGTAAAAGCACTTGACAGATCACATACAGGTAATGCATTTCATGACAGAGATTCAACTAAATTTTAGATTTTATTCTATTTAATACCTTTGCTGTTAACATCAACCCCTTTCAGATCCTAAACATTAACAATAAGGAAAACATTATTATGTCCCATCTCAGCAGTCGCAGGGAACTCTTGGTAATGTGAGGGCCAAGTCTTTGTAAACAATTGGCTTTTGGGATAGAATTGTGAAATTGTAACTTATAGATAATAAACCTTTAAGTTGATACACTTTACCTCAACGTTTCACAGATTTCTTTTAAAATTATGACAGTTTGTGTTCTGATATCACAAAAGTGAAAAATTAGTGTTTTTTTTTCCAAGGAAATGAAAGTACGTAGACAGAAATTAATACAGACACTTCAGAATGCAGATCCTGACCCTTCTGGTTTCTTGGACATTATTAGTTGTTCAGTTTCCTGTTCTACTCCAATGTCAGGTAAAAGGCATTTGAATATTTTCCTTCCTGCTGTAAGAAATGACAGAATGTGGGAGCCACAGTATGAGACAAAAGTTACCTTGTTTATCTATAACTGAGTATGAAGCCAAGAATCCCCGTCCAGAAGCATGGATTCCACTCATGAACAGCACTGTGACTTCGCTGCCTTTGGACTCAACTGACCCATTCATTTGTAAACCCAGACCGCAGTATTTGCCTAGGAATGAAAAAAAAAACAGCATGTATTTGATGTGACTCTCATAAAGTTAGTATTTGTACTGTACATAACAATAGCAAACCATGTACTAGAGTAATGAAATCAGTAAAACTTAGGTTAGAAAATCATATTATTCTGGAGGAAAAACTAAATGGCAAGTAATAATTATTTTAATGATTCAAAAGAAAAAATGTTATAGATTTCCACTGAACTTAAGAGATTCAATTTCTATAAACACACATATATGCTCTTTAAACAATAGTGGAATAGTTTTAGAAACAGGCATTCCACACAGCGTGATAACTGCAAGTAAGTGATTAGCCAGCAGAATGTTTACAAGGTTCCTTCAGGACCTCCTAGATTCTGCACCTCAGCACATTCCTCAAATTTCCTCAAGTGGGACCCACTCAGTTTTCTCTCTGTAGATTATTAGATCCTTCCTGCCTCAACTAAGATCTGGACACTCAGTAGCTTAAATTTCTACCCATAGTCTTGGCCTTGAAGTCAGACATATATATTCAATGTAGAGCACACATGTAACACATGTAACACTTAGTAAAATCTAAGTAAACTACAAAAGAAGAGGGAGAGAAAGCATGGAAGCAAAATAGGCACCAATAAGCAATAAAATAGATTTCCTTATGTGGCTGGTAACGGTACTAGCAAATCTGGAATACAGAGTTCCAAAAATTGTTTCAAGCTGTGGCAACAATACTATTTGAAAAAGATCAATGTAATGTTATATCATTCATCCTTAGAGAAATGAAATTAAAACTGTATGGATGGATCACTGCATACTCTGATGAATGGCTGCAGTCAATAGTACAGACTATACATTAAGTATCAGAGAGCATTGGGAAAGTCAGAACTTCATATATGAATAGCATAAATATGAAATACACAAACTTGAGACAGCTTGGTAATTTATAAAAGTTATCTATGCAGGAGGAAAGAAGCTACACCCACAGAAAGGCTACAAATGGTCATTCACTACTCATTCAGCCTCAAACGAAAACCATTCGATTTGATCAACTAATACCTAATGAGGTATACAGCCACATGGAGGAACACAATGTTAATACATGAGAACAGGCTATTTGCAATGTGGACAAATCTCAAACATAGCATGCTAAATAAGAGATGCCACTGTATGATGATTCTAGAAAAGGCAAACAAAATGACAAAATTAGAAGTGCAAAGCAGATTGGTAGCTGCCTAGAACCAGGAATAAATGAGAAATGCACTTCAACTGGGCACATGGGGAACTGTAGATATGGTCTGGAATTTCCAGACCTGTGTGTTAGTGACGTGCAGCTGCACTTTTGTGTGCAAACTCGTCAAAGTAGACAACTTAAAGATAGGCTAATTTGGTGATATTTAAAACATAGCTAACAGGGCTCATAAGAGAAACACAATCTTTTATTGAATGGAACTATCAGATATAAATGAATTAACCATTTTTATGCAAAGAAAAAACAGATCACAGAATCAGATACTGTTTAGAGACAAGAGATCATTAGAGAACTATCCTAAAACCCTCCTTCAACAACTGAAAACTGGAAAATCATGTTGATATCTTGATCACTTAAACTGACACTACAAGGTACTGGTAAAGTCAGTCCAGAACCTTTGTTTTTGTTATGGAACGACTATTGCATCCTCCCCAAATTCTTACGCTGAGAACCTTAGTCCTACTGTGACAGTATTTGAAGTAGACCTTTGTAAGAGGGAGGCTGTGGGAGTAGAGGTCTTATGACAAAAATCATACCTTGAGAAGAGGACCACGTGAGGGAACAGGAGAAGACCACAACCGAAACCAAAAAGTGGTCTTACCACACAGCAATCTATTGGCTCTGAACCTCAGACTTAGGGCTTCTAGAAAGCTGAGAAATGACTATCTGATAGTTCAGCCCATAGCACACTTGTTACAAGAACATCTCTTTGCTTACACCCTAAGAGCAAGGTTCGTGAAGCAGGCACTGTGTCTATATACATGTCTGTGTATATAGACAGTTGCTGCACTCCCTGTCCACTAGGTCATCCTTCTGGGCTCGCACTTCCTTCCTAAGCTCCAGCATATGTAGACAGCTACACCAAAGTAATCTCTCCATCTCTCCCTCGCCCCACCTGTCTTCCTCCCACACATTACTCCTGCACCAGGAAGGGAGCTGGCAGTGCTTGGAAGCAGGACTGTGAGGGTCAAGTGTCCGGTGCCCCCTTCCTCCCACATCGACAGCCTGTGATTGTGCCCATCACCAGCCTCACCCTTGACCAAACTGGCAAACATTCTGGCTCGTCTTCGGTACGCTCTCTCTGAGTGTGTAACAATGCTACCTACCCTTGCATGCCTTACCTGTGCAAACCTACACATGGGGAGAACTGTACCCAGGAAGTGATAATTGGTTTAAAATGACCCTTTTTATCATTATATGGAACTTTTAGAAAAAGATTTCAAAAAGCAAACAGTGGTTACACCTAAGGGCTATGTCTTTGAAACAGTAAGTCACACTCCAGTTTTCCACAAGCCTCTCCCTGCATAATGTCTTCTGTGCCATTTACATCACGACAGTGCTGTTATCTTTCCAGTGCCCAGGCTTTTCCTCCCATTTATTCCAGATGCCTGGTTCATGTTGTCGATTTCTATCCAGCTGTATAGACTGTAGAAACATAACCATTTTCATATAGGCTTCATAGACCAAAAAAGAAAGAAAGAAAGAAAGAAAGAAAGAAAGAAAGAAAGAAAGAAAAAAGAAATGGTATAAACAGTAATAAAAATGTAAAAATACTTTTAAAACAATGAAGTCCTTATAAAAAGAGTAGAGTAACATTTAAAAAGCCATGTAAAGATGAAATATACACAGAGTCTGGGTTCTGTATGTTATTTATTTTTTTAATT